AAATAGATTTGAAGTATTTTCTGTGTAGGTAACATGGGCCATCTCTTATAATCAACAGTCCATAATCTGAAGCAGGGGTCTCCAAACGAAGGCCAGGGGGGCAGGTACAGTCCTCCAAGGTCATTTACTCAGCCCTCGCTCAGGGTCAACCTAAGTCTGAAATTACTTGAAAGCACATAACAACAACAATAACAACAACAATCCTATCACATCAACCAAAGCAGACCCACACTTCCCATTGAAATTCTAATAAGTTTATATTTGTTAAAATTGTTCTTCATTTTAATTATTGTTTTAAATTATTTTTGTACTACAAATAAGATATGTGCAGTGTACATAGGAATTCATTCATGTTTTTTCTTTCAAATTATAATCTGACCCTCCAACAGTTTGTGGGACTGTGGCCTGGCCCTATGTTTAAAAAGTTCGAGGACCCCTGATCTAAATCATCTCTCTGGTATGAGAAACTAATAGAGTCTCTGCCTAGTCTGAAAGTCCAGGGGAGTCTCTAAGCATACTGTTCCTGCTGAAGTCTAAAGCATACAGTTTCTAAAATGGAGTCTAAGTCCTGAACAATCCCAGTTCTGATCACATAGTCTGCAGCCCTTCCAATACACACATACACAATACAGTAAGCAATCTGAATGATATACATAACAACTGGTGGAGGCTTGAAGAAGGTTGCTATTTCCAACATGATTACAGTCAGCAAACCATTGTTGTTGTTCATTCGTTCAATCGTCTCCGACTCTTCGTGACCTCATGGACCAGCCCACGCCAGAGCTCCTGTCGGCCGTCACCACCCCCAGCAAACCATTAGGCTACATATAAAAACACAGTTAAAACATTGCAATAAAAACATTCATGTTAAAAAATAATTACTATCATACAGTTCAAAGTATAAAATACCATTTACTAGATATATTAGTTATTAAAAAAGCGCACAACATTACAAACAGCATTAAATATATCCTATGGGTATATTGCCAGCTTTTAAAAGTAAAAATCCCCCCACAATGTGGATAATAATAACAAACAATGCAGTTTATTTAGTTTGGAGCCTAGTTTCTTGTGTGTGTGTGTGTGTGTGTGTGTGTGTGTGTGTGTGTGTGCAGGACTTGATCAATTCAAGGGTGGGGTTAAAATTGCTGGAAGAATCATTAACAACCCTAGATATGCAGATGATACCACTTTGATGGCTGAAAGCAAGGAGGAACTGAGAAGCCTTCTAATCAAGGTGAAAGAAGAAAGTGCAAAAGCTGGGTTGCAGTTAAACATAAAAAAACCAAGATTATGGCAATAAGACTGATTGATAACTGGCAAATAGAGGGAGAAAATGTGGAGGCAGTAACAGACTTTGTATTTCTAGGTGCAAAGATTACTGCAGACGCAGACTGCAGCCAGGAAATCAGAAGACGTTTACTTCTTGGGAGGAGAGCCATGAACAATCTTGATAAAATAGTGAAGAGTAGAGACATCACACTGGCAACCAAGATCCGCATAGTCAAAGCAATGGTATTCCCCATAGTCACCAACGGATGTGAGAGTTGGACCATAGGGAAGGCTGAGTGAAGGAAGATAGATGCTTTTGAACTGTGGTGCTGGAGGAAAGTTCTGAGAGTGCCTTGGAATGCGAAAAGCTTCAGGGCCCTTCCTTTATTATTATTATTATTAACTTTATTTATACCCCGCTAACATCTCCCGAAGGACTCGATGCAGCTTACAAAGGCCAAGGCCGCCAACAAAACAACAACATAACAATACAGCAATAAAACTCATAAAGCAAACAATAAACATCAAGCAAAAAATAAAACACTAAAAACAATGACACCATGACGTATTTAAAACCTAAGGCCGGGCCAATGTAATGAACAAAATTTAAAAGTGCTAGACGTGACAGGTGAAATGTAGAGTTTTTGAAGGTAGGTGCAATGTGCAGACAATCCTAACTCTCTAACAAAGTGCATTTGGGATATGATGCTAGGAGTTTCCTATTCTGGAAAGGCACACTGGAACAGCCAAGTCTTCAGGCTCTTCCTAAAGACTGCCAACGTTGGGGCTTGTCTAATGTCCTTGGGGAGAGAGTTCCAGAGTCGGGGGGCCACCACAGAGAAGGCCCTGTCCCTCGTCCCCACCAAACGCGCTTGCGATGCAGGTGGGATCGTGAGCAGGGCCTCTCCAGATGATGGAAGGGATCGTGTGGGTTCATATATGGAGATGCGGTCACGCTTAAGCGGCTGAGGGGGGAAAGAAAGGGGCCTAAGGCTGTTAGGAATTGTGGGAGTTGGAGTCCAAAACTCCAGGAGGGCCAAAGTTTGCCCATGCCTGATATAACTCCTCCTGAAGAAGCTGGCACTTGAAGTTATAAGCCAAGAGAGTATGGATGGCTTCTCTACACACTCCAGCAAATAGCCATTGCCCCTTTTTACTGTTTCTCAATTTAAATTGACAGACTTTTGAGGTAGTTTGGATTTTTAAAAAAGCCGAGGAAATCTTATGACTGAGTCGTGCCTAGTGTCTGCCTCAGGGCCCTTCCACACAGCACTATATCCCAGAATATAAAGACTGAAAATCCCACAATATCTGCTTTGAACTGTGTTATGTGGGATTTCCTGCCTTGATATTCTGAGATATAGGGCAGTGTGGAAGGGCCCTCAGTGCCATTTTGAGGCCTGGCTGCTTTCACACAGACATCACACTCCTCTTAAGATTGAAAAACTGGACTGTTGTGAGGGCAGAAAATCCTTGAACTGGGTTATCTGAGTCCACACTCAGATAATGGTGGATTTCCTGCCTTGATATTCTGTGATATAGGGCTGTGTGGAAGGGCCCTCAGTACCATTTTGAGGCCTGGCTGCTTTCACACAAATTTCATATGTCTATGTTTGAAAAATTGGACCATTGTGAGGGCTGTACTGCATTAGTTTCTGATATATGACTGAAATATAGAAGGTTGGAGCCATATTAGTAATTGGAGAAGGTATTAGCAACCTAGTTGGTGGGTTCACCATTATAGAAGTACACACACAGGGCCAGGTTTGAAATAGCCTCATGAAAATGGCATCTGAGGGCATTCTTGAGGCAATCACTAGACTGACAAATTGGCCGCCTTTTAGATTGCCAGAACAAAATAAGGCCAGTGGTCAGCAATGAAAATAAAATATCTCGCTGCCAATGAAGTAATAATCTCAGCGGGAACTTTGCGGAGAAAGGTTGAGGAAAATATCTTGGCTGAAACAAATAAATAATAGGTGGGAAACTCAGGCCTTTCCACCAGAGAGGTGTATGTATGATATGTGCGTGTGTGTATACACACACACACACACATATATATATAGACTAGCTGTACCCGCCACGCTTTGCTGTGGCCAACCTTCTCTCTTTCTCTCCTTCTTTCCCTCCTTCCTTCACTCCCTCTTTCCTTTCTTCCCATCTTTCCATCTCTTCTTCCTTCCTTCTCTATCTCTTTCCTTCCTTTCCCCCTTTTCTTTCTCTTCTGCTGTCTCGCTTTTCTTCCTTCTCTCTTTCCTTCTTTCCTTCCTTCCCTCTTTTTCTACATTTCCCCCTTCCTTCGCTCCCTCTTTCCTTCCTTCTTTCCCTTTTTTTCTTTCCCTATCTCTTTCCTACCTTCTCTAACTTTCCTTCCCCCTTTTTCTTTCCTTCCCTCTTTCTCTCCTTTCTTCCTTCTCTGCCTCTTTTCTTCCATTCTTCTCTCTTTGCTTCCATACTTCTTTCTCCCTTTCCTTCTTTCTTTCCCTCCCTCTTTTCTTTTTCTTTCTTTCTTTTRTTTCTCCCCTTCCCTCCCTCTTTCTTCCCTTTTTTCTATATTGTCATTTACCTTTTCGTCATTTAGCTTTTTGGGGCATTTTAAGTCCCTTCTGCTGTGTTTTTCAGTGTTTTATGAGTGAAATACATATTGGGTTGTTAGGTGTATTGTGTCCAAATTTGGTGTCAATTCCGCCAGTGGTTTTTGAGTTCTGTTAATCCCACAAACAAACATTACATTTTTATTTATATAGATATACATACACACACATATGTGTGTGTAGAAGAGGTAGGAAAATTGCCTCGTTCTTTAATATGCTGTGATCTTAGGCCCCTTATACACTGCCATATAATCCAAATTATCAAATTATTATCTGATTTGAACTGGATCATATGAGTCTACAGCACTACCATAAAATCCAGCTCAAAGCAGATAATCTGGATTTTACATGACAGTGTAGAAGGGCCCTTAAGGAACATTTAAAATAGTGACTTACATTTGTATATAAATTCTAATTTGTTGACTTAATGCTTTCAATCATTTAAATCTAAATATATTTCAAACTCCTCTCTAGTTAAGAAGATACCAGTTAATGCAAAAAGAAAATTAGTGTTTAGTGGAGGAGGCTGTATAATGATTTCTCATATTTGTGGCAATTTTGTGTAGAACATTTTAATCAAGAGCTGCGGTGGCGCAGTGGGTTAAACCTGAAGGTCAGTGGTTCGAATCTGTGAGACTGGGTGAGTTTCCGTCTATCAGCTCCAGCTTCCCATGTGGGGACATGAGAGAAGTCTCCCTTGGACAATGTCTCTGCAGATGGCCAATTTTCTCACATCAGAAGCAACTTGCAGTTTCTCAAGTTGCTTCTGACACAATTATTTTTAAAAAATGACATTTAGTTCTTCCAATACACTTAGGAAATTATGATTTTGCATTAAGTGATTCACTTTCAATGGGTACACATGTAGCACACATAGTTTATTGCTTAACATCTCTGATTCTTCTCCAGTAGACAAATCCAATCTAAGAAACCACCCATGAAAAATGAGACCAAATCTTCTGAAACTGAAGGAAACTGCCTTGGTTTATCTTGACAGGAGTGGTGGTCTTCAAAAATTTCTGGATGACTGCAAACTATACAATGGTGATATTGAATATTCTTGAAAAATCAGAACTATTCTGATTAAATAAATATTTTCGTAATGTTAATGCTTCGAATTATTTGGTCTTACAGACTCAAAGCAGAGTTGTGCTGTGTTTCGTTTCCTAATACGAGTAAATCCATCTGATATTGTTGAATTGGATGCTGTCCTTGGAAACTATGTTATGCATGAACCTGTGAAAGCCACACGAATATTTAAGTCAGTAAGGAACCTTACATAATTTGAAAAAAACAAACAATTTAGAACTATACTAAACCATTATTTTCTCACAACGTGAATTGGATTTTGAATTGTAGGTATGTTTTACAGCAGTTCAGACACTGTCACTAATTCAGCAACTGCAGACTGAAGATCAGGTATGATTGCGTTGTTTTATTTATTTGTTTATTTATTTATTTACAGAATTTTTACCCCACCCTTCTCAACCCCTGAGGGGGGACTCAGAGCGGCTAACATTGGCAACAATTCGATGCCACAATAACAATAACAACAATATATAAACCATAAATATGTAATAGATTAAAAACAATAACATTAATTATACAGTCACATAGCTGTTTCCATTATCATAACAATCATGGTCCAATTCAATGTCCAAAGTGCCGCTGTGCCTACTAGCTGAAAGTCCAAAACCATGATTTCAATTTTTTCCTAAAGGAAAGGAGGGAGGATGCCAATCTAATCTTGCTGGAGAGCGAATTCCACAAGCGGGGAGTCACCACTGAGAAGGCCCTGTCCCTCGTCCCCACCAGACACATTTGCAAGGCCGGTGGGACTGAGAGCAGGACCCCCCCCCCCCGGTGGATCTTAAACTACGAGGTGGAATGTAGAGGGGGATACATTTAAACAAACAAGCTGGGCCAGAGCCGTATAGGGATTTATAGGCCAAGACCAGCACTTTTAGAGATTATGATCGAAAATAGAATCATTTGTATTTAGAACATAGCTTCTTACTCCTACTTTTCTTTTTAGTTTGGTGCACTATCTTGTCCTTGGACAGAACCCCATTATAATAAACTATGTCAAAGTTAAAAATTAGATAAGTAAAATAAAGCAATTCCTACACATAGTAACTCATGTTCACACTTTTCCGTTTTTGCATGAGGGTCACAGATTGCTCTGCATGAACATGTATGGAAATACATCTATTGCTGAACTCAGTGTTAGAACAATAGAGGCCAACAGCGCCCCCAAAACAAAAACATCAAAGGAAATAATAAGTCTGCTTGGAATACCCAGTGCAATACTTTACATTTCTTATGGCTATCTTGTAACCTTCATAGTGAGGTACAGGTTATATATGGGTAGAGAAGAAACAAAGAAACAATGCACATTCTGCTGGGGGAAAAGAACCCATAATAAATAAAATTATTGTTGTTGTTGTTGTTGTTGTTGGTGGTGGTGGTGGTAACAGTTCAATGTTGGCTTTGAATGAGCACCACTATCAGTTGACCCTTGAACCAATTAATGTCCTATCCAGTTTGTCATGAAGGTGACAACCCTTTGGTTTTTGAAGCCAATTGTCTCAACTTCCTCAAATTAAAAAGGAAGCATATCATGCCTATTAAACAAAAGAATGGAGAGTGGATAAAACCAACAATAAGGTAATCTGAGAATCAACATTCATTCCTTTATATCTGGGCAGTGGATAGGAGACAAAGCCTTGGTGTCCAATACAGTATCTGCCATGTAGGGCCAACTGCAAAAGCCAGGCAAACTACTTCAAAGAAACTCCCAACAATCTGCACATTTTTGAGATCTGAAAGGAGAACAATGCAGTTGGTGTAACAACAGTACTCCTTCCCCCATGGTTTAGGCTTCCAGGATGCAAAAGAGGATCTGTAGTAGCTGAGGATGAAGGTCTTAGATAAGATGTCTACTTCCACTCAGACGTTAGATCTTAATCGAGAGAATACAGCAGCAAATTGTTAAAATTTAACTGTAACATGGATATATTGGGAATTATAAGTGCTTTGAGTCTACTCATATCAATCATATATTCATTGGCTAGATTTAACTATGTGAGTACTCAATAGAGATCATAATACTAGCCGGTTGTATAAAATAGTGTTTAAAACATTAGCAATAACAAATTTCGGATACCTAGCAAAAATACTGTGAAAAGTACACATTATTAGATGTTTATGGCATTCACGGTGGAACCTTTTATAGACAACCCATAACTTGCAATGAGGATGAAGAAAGCATGAAGACTGCATTGTATATTCTTACTCTAAGGAATGAGAGCCATGCTTTCCAAAGAAAATGTTGAGATAAAATACTGTCTTTGGGCATAGGTTATTTATTTGGGTAAACTTACCAACATTTGTTTTCCTAAATAGAATCCCATGTTTTACAATAAAAACAAATCAATGAAATTTGTTTCAAAACATTAAAAGATTACATTGTTAAGAGCTAGCACAAAACTTCAATACTAAAAGCAACAATTAAAATACAACATAGCAGTAAATTCCTCCTAGAAGAAGAAGGCCTCCAGTCTGATGTACATATCACAAATTTATAAACTACTTCTTAAAATAATATAGCCCAGTGACAACTCCAGCTCCACCAGTAAGGCCTAATCCATCTGCCAGTCCAAAAAAAAGTAGTCCTACAGGTGTCAAATAAAACTATAAATGACTGGTTTTCAAGAGGAATAGTTTTTTGAATTTCTTTCAGCATAAAAAATGGAAAAGGTGGGAGAAGAATCTAGTAACATTTCTGAGACCAACTCAATGTTGCTACTAGAGCCACTGCCCATACCCCGCCGTTTCCCTTTGTATGCTATTACTGCCTTGAACCTACCTTAGGGAATGCTCATATAAAATATGTATCTTAAGGAGACATAAAAGTTACTTGTCTGTGTCTACTGCAATGGAATTCCATATAAGGAGTCCAAAACACTTATTGTAACTAAGGGCCCATCTAGGCAGTACCTTCATGCCAGGAGCTCCTGCAGCAAAGAGGAGGGTAGCCAGAAACCATTCCCTGTAAACACTGAAGCAATCTCTACAAAAGGCAAAAAACGTGAGGTTTTCAGGTGTGGGAATATAATGGTTTTGAGCCAAATGTCCACATCTCTTCATATCTGTACATCCTTGCAATCGGAAAACACTGGATTTTTTTCAATCTGGGTTTGTTCCCAGGTTTTAGATGCTTGTTCCTGATTGTTTGGTTTCGAAAAATAAGGTGACACTTGAGTAGAACACGAAAACTTTGTTTGTGTGCCAGAAACTTCATGAAATATCTGGAAGGCACAGTTTTTTCTGGCCAGAACTTTTGCAGTGATTTGCTGCAGTGACTCTCTGCATATCCACATCTTGAGGTTTTTTTAAAAAAAACTGCTGAAGTTTCTGGTGGAAATCCCACATCAGCCATCTTGGGAGCCTCTAAATCTTGCAATAAAGTATCAAGTCTGGACAACAGAGGCAAAAATCCTGGGACCAACAGGTCTATATGTCGACCTCTTCTGAAGTCCTGGGGGTTTTTTGCCCCTGTTTAAAACCCGCGATTTAGTGCTGTCTGGAAGCACCTTAAGGCACCCTTTGAGGACATGAAATGCCTCAAAAGTAGTTCTGTTGAGGGTGAAATAAAGATGAAATAAATGTGGTGGGGCAATCCTAAGGTAACTAGTCCCAATTTGTGCAGACCTGCCTCAGTAAGTTAATGGTAGCCAGAGCTTCCCATCGCTGTAGCTTTCTGCCCAAAGCTGAAGGATATGTCCACATGCCTTTTTATATAATAAGGTTGTTGCGTCTCTTCATTTATAATCAACATCATCTTTTCTTTCTTTCCTTAGATAAATATAGTGCTGAAATTAACACATTTACCTTCCCTGCCTAGTTATGTTCTCAGCCTTTGCAAATTTCCATTTGACTATACTACTCAAAGATTTTATATGTTAGAGGGAATAGTGGTTGCAATGACTACTGTGACAAAGTATACACAAGGAGCAAGATTTGTTTGTTCTGATGAAGCATGTCAGCTTTCTGAAGGTACACAAACTGTACTAAATTACTTATGCAAAATCTTATGGCGATACATGGACTGTTGGGAATGTATCTGTAAAATGATAAATATAAACATGATTTCCCAAAACGAATTGGCATTGATATTGAAAGCAAGTTAGCATTCAAACCCAGTGCATAGATATACCTATTGGTTATGTCTATTCATGATAACATATCTTTCCATAAATCCTCCCCCGTATGAATCACTTGCCTATTACTTCATTCAGTCATAGAATTTTAAATGGTCAACAGATAGCGTTCTAGTATATAGTTCAAAACTTTGAATATTATTTTCCATGTCACCTTTTAACCATATGCACACTGTCTCTGTGTGGGTGAACATGTCTGAGCAGGCAACACACTTCACAGCCAACGGAGGCCCCTGCAATTAAGACAAAAACTGTCTGCTGAGAGACTCAAAAATGAGTTGCCATGTTTTCCAGCATTTTAATTAATTGAATGGCATCATCTTGTTTATTTTCTGGTATTTAATTAAGTAGAATTTAAAAGTTACAAAATTTAACCTCATATTAAAGTTTGGAAAACTAACTATTATATATTTCTCCTAGGGTTTCAGTATATAAGAGTGCACACTCCCGGGGCTACAGAATCTGCAACACTAAGAAATGATTTTGTTTGTAGTTTATGTACCTCGCCACTGAGAGAAGACATGAAATGTCGAGTACTTGGTGGTAAAATTATATACTGTTACTGTAACCTAAATTATATTGTTCTGATGGATACAAATTTTAATATGGGGAGGGGTGCTATTGGTTAAGTAGGCAAGGAGAAAAAAAGGAGTGAGTACATACTTCTAAAAAAAATCTCCTGTCTGTGTTAAGCCTTCAACAGGACCACATTTTAAAGAAATCTTATGCAAGAACTATTGAACAGAAGAACAAACTTCCTTAGAGCAAATGGGTTGGGATGGTCTTTGATTCAATTTAAAAACATGTTCTATATAAATAAATCATTTTGATGTTTTTAAGATAAACAAGTGGCTGAACTGATTGACAGTAAAGCAACTTCTGCTTTCCAAGGATTTTCCACCAGAAAAAGACACTTAAGATTTCAATCTTTCACAGTGTTTCTAAGAGGTAATTAGATGTTTAATTTAAAACATACATATTATGTAACTGAGATATATGGCATCATTTCAGATATCAATATAGAATGTTCAACAACAATTGGTCAGAATAAATATTTTGCTTCCACAGTATATATACATCTGAAAGAAAATGTGAAATTTAGTTTACTTTATTTCAGTACATTCTATATATATATATAATATATATATATATATATAGAGAGAGAGAGAGAGAGAGAGAGAGTATAATTTTGAATAGTTCATTAATTACTAGCAAGGGCATGAATTCTATTAAATAAGCAGTGCCTTTTCTACTGTAGTGGTAGTTTCCCTTTGTCACATTTTAACTTCCTCCTTTCAGCTTCCTCTGATCAAATTGTTCTGTGACATCCTGCAACATCCTTCCTCATTTAGCTGTTTCTCTCATGATCTCAACCATCTCTGGTTTCCATAATTCAATTGCACAAAATAAAGGAAAAGAAAAACAAAACAGAAGAGCTTAAACTATGGACTGATTAACCTACACATATACACTTAACTATTGCTTGATGCCACTGTAAACTAGCTTTATTTTCTTTCATCTTTGCTTTCTTTTCTTATCAAAAGAGTTTCCTACATTTTAAAAACTTGATATTTGCAATGTGAAAGTGGGTCAGGCAGTTGGTATAACAACTGAGCAGGACTAAATAAGCTTCCTGGTTTTCCAGGATACTGTAAGCAGGAAACAAGTGAGATGGCAGCTAGAGTGATGTTGGTGGAAAAGTCAATCTAACAGATTATATCCCGCCTAAAGGACAGCACTGTGGCACTGATAGTGGCAAATAATCGACTTATTGTCTCGCTGTAGCTGCACTATGTTGCCCAATGGAGCTTCTCAGGTGACTTAAGAACTATTATGTGATGGAGGATCTGCTGGATCCAGAACCCTTTAAGTCACCTGACAGAACTCCAGATCGGGCGTGGTACCTTCACCAGCCTAGATGTTGTGGTGATGCAAGAGGTTAAACCGCTAAGCTGTTGAACTTGCTGACTGTTAGGTTGGCAGTTTGAATCTGTGGGACAGGGTGAGCTCCTGCTGTTAGCCCAAGCTTCTGCCAACGTAGCAGTTAGAAAACATGCAAATGTGAGTAGATCAATAGGTACCGTCTTTGCTGGAAGGTAAATGGCACTCCATGCAACCATAGAATCATAGACTCATAGAGTTGGAAGAGACTCCATGGGCCATCAAGTCTAACCCCCTGCCAAGAAGCAGGAAAATCACATTCAAAGCACCCCTGACAGAAAGCCATCCAGCCTCTACTTAAAAGTCTCCAAAGAAGGAGGCTCCACCATACTCCAGGCCAGAGAGTTCTACTGCTGAACGGCTCTCACAGTTAGGAAGTTCATGAACTAGGAGGTGTCTACGGACAACGCAGGCTCTTCGGCTTAGAAATGAAGATGAGCACCACCCACAGAGCCACAGATGAGCACCACCACCCCACCCCCCATCCCACCCTCCAGAGTCAGAGATGAAAGGGGAAGCCTTTACCTTTATCTATTTCATTGTTTCTAGACATTGAATGATTGCCTTTGTGTCTCTATATGCTGGAATCCCCTCGGGAAGATAACACCGAATACAAATACATTATTATTATTATTACTACTATTTGATTATTTGATTATTGGTTTCACAAGGAGCAAAAAAGGAAAAATGTCCACAAGCAGAGGAATAAGAAAAAAAATTGCATCCTACTTTCAGCTGACTGGAGGAAATAGCAGGGTTTTGGAAATAGAAGATATATCTGTCACCCCCATGAAGATTGTTTTGCCTAATACTAAATGTCTGTGCACCTGGGATTTTTTTTTACAGATGAACTGTGCAATAAAATGAAAATAGGGAACATATACAAAGTTATAGGAATTCCAGTCTGTATGCAGAACTCTTCACAAGTAGCACTTTGCTTAGAAGCCAACAGAGTAGATTATCCTACCATAATAGGTAAGAAAAGAGAATACTGAGAAGAAATGATTTGGTTTTCAGTTTATGATTTTAATTACAATTATGATTTTAATTATAGGGTATTCAACAAACAAATGGAACATGAATTAACACACATGCATATACTTTTGATATGGTTGAAATCACCCTAGTCCATCATGAAATCAGTTGCTGAAAATCTAAAGATTGTTAGTCCCAACTAGAATAGACACACCAAATCAACTACATTTACATAGCTTTTGATTTATAAGGTCACATTAATTCCGTGAGTCTGATGGAGGCCAAGGGGAATTAGAACAAATAATTTTAATAATTCTGTTTCATGTTATTTCTCTTTTAATTCAACAGCTTTAACAATGCTATTCAGAATTTATTTCTGATATTACTATGTCTGCTGCTTCAGACAGAATGCAAAAGACAAGAATGTATCACAATTCATTTCATTCTCTCTTCCTCCAGATGAAAAACACAGACAGAGAGTGCCCTCTACCTATTTATTTGTGATCTAACATCAGTTAAATTATTTTAACACCAAATGACTTTTATGTTACTCTGGTTATCAGAACTATGTCTTCTCCAGATTGTCTTGTATCTGTTTTGATAGTAATAGACTTTGCTAATTGTTTTTCTTTCCTCTTTTTTGCAGTTACTTTCGTTTCCATTGTCAATTGCTTTGGAAATCCTATGTGAAAACTCAACACACACAAAAATAGATTAATTAAATAAACAAACTATATTTTGTTCTTAATGTCACAGATTTAAAAAATCTTCTTGCATCTTAAATCCTTGGCAACTTATAATTTGCTTGGTTAATAATTTATTGAAGTTGCCTATCAATGCACAATATAGCACACTTTCATGTATATCATATATCTTTTTATGTGTATATATGTGTGTATGTGATTTAAAACAAAACAGACAAAAATTTGTTCTGGATCCTAGTGGTATGCAGGTATGCAGACTTTGTATCTGTCTGTCTATCTACTAATTAACAAAGGAACATAATAAATTCCATAACTTCAAAATTACTGGAAATTTTACTTCTCTGGCTGACCTTAAGTATTCCCTCTGGTGCAAGAGGTTTTTCAGTCAAAAGGAACAGAATCTAGCCTCTCATCTATATGTTTCTGGGCTGGGCTCAATGCAACCTTTTCCTCCCCCGCCTCTTCTGCACTTAACCTTGGAATAAATGTTGTTTTGTCTCCTCATACTACCCAATACGTATTACTACTGGGTCTCCCAACCAATTCATCTACAATCAATACAGTACAGCATTTGGGATCAAGGTGGTAGAATAATCTGAATGAAATAGTCAGAATACTCCCGTTGTCATGTAACTCTGGATACACCCGTAATTTGTAGAAAAAAATTTTTTTGTTTTATTTTAATCAGGTTCTTGTTGCATCAGTGAAAAATTTAAGCATCTGATTTCTTTGACTTCAAACTCATATTGGAGATTCACAGCTGTTCTAGCCAATACTTTTGCTTCACAAGTTGTCCCAGCAGGCATTTACAACCATCTCAAACTGGCTATATTGCTGAGTCTAGTACAGACAACTGACAGAGACGATGCAACAGGTTATGTGGATCTTTTGGCCATGACAAATGAGTCTTTAATATTAGAAAGGTATCTGTGTCTCCTTTCATTAATAAATAGATACCCTTTCCTTTTGGTGACAGGATGAAAGTAGCTGTATGGTATTCTTCCCTGCTCCCAAAAAAAGCATTGTGCAAAAAATGTGTTGTTATTGTAAATTTAATTTCTAATGCATTTATTCTATCCTTTATTGTTTACGTAATTAGAATGCGATAAACTATTGTACACGATTATTTATCCCATGATGAGAATTGTTATTCAGTTGAAAAAGATGTAAGCTTGAGACATATAAAAACAGACCCTGGTATTGTTTACACCAATAAAATAATCCAGCTTTAATTCAGATTATTCTTCTCTGGAGCTGTCCAGTATTCCCGCCAAAGGTGAGCAGGTAGATCAGAGCCTTGACTTTTTTCTCAGGGCTGCTGAAACATCAATAATGGCATCCCTGCTGTGCAACTCCTCAGCAGTCCTGCTTGCAAAGTCTCTTGTAAGAATGAGTCACACAGCCATAAGATCTGTTGGAGCTGTTTGCAATTTGTAATGTAGATTTCAAAGTATGTATGTATGTATGTATGTTTAAAATGCAGTAGCTATGTGCCGAGTGTATTCCTGTGTGGAAAGAGTTAACTGAACCATGGAGGGAATGGCATTCATAGAGAGGTCATAAATCAAGTGTATAGAACAAATGGACACAGTGTTGTGCCTCGTACATCATACGTCACTCTGGAATGCAGGAGGTGTGGACTAGTACTGATAACAGTGTGTTTGCGATGTTACTCAGATGGGAAAGGAGCAAGTTTACGATGTGCTGAGTGTTAAGTAGCTTCTAATGTATATAGCTGCAAAATAGTTTATAGCCTAAGGTGGCTGTGATCGATCTGTTCCTGCCTTGCTGTGCGGCTGATGTCACCGACAAGATCAACAGCCCACTGGCCCCTTCACCATTGACCTCATGGGTGAGCACTTGTTTTTACCTCAGAGAAAGTGACTTTGCAAGCAATGGTCTGCTGGGGAGGTACTTAACGAGGAAGGCAATGGTGATGCTTCCCAAGGAGAAAGACACTGGTTATTTTGTCTTTTTAGTAGTGAAAAACACTACGCATTTTTAAAAAATGTGACACCACCTACCAATCTTGCCAACTCTTGCCCAACAAAGGGACAGTGTTAAACCAGAGAGACACAGTTTAAAAATAGGTTTTTTTCCTCAAAACTGCAGAGTAATAAGTTTTTTAAAAACCAACTAAAACCAAGAAAGTACTTCGCTGTTAAAACTGCAGTATGTTGCGTCCCCCTATAGTACCAGAATAGAGGTAGGAATTGATTTTTCTGGTGTAGACAACCCCATATTTTCTTCCAGTATACTGTAGATTTATTAATGAGTTATCTATTTTACCCCTCAACTAGACTTATGAATTACAGCATTTGTCTTGTGCCCCGGGGAATTAGACACATTTCATCTAGTGGTATTTTCCCTACCGTATCAAAAGATAAACATGGAACTGGAACTGCTAGCATTCAGGCAAATAGTGCTTTACTGGCCAAAGGTGGAATATGCTTCATTGGAGAACTATCTTCTCATAAGAAGGATAAACTCGAACAGTTGCAGTCAGGTAGGTGAACAAATCCTTATATGTATTCAAATCAATGTTCCTTAACCTAGTGTACTCTCAATGTATATTACATTATAAGTTGAGAAAGGTTACAACTCGGGAAAGAATGAACCAAACACAGTTTCTGAAATGATTCATATGCACCTTTTCTCGAATACCTCGAATACCAGGAAGACTAATCTGCATAGGCTATATACCTCAGAGCTGATCTGGGGAAGGGTCACTCTTTATCATATTAAAAATCTTTCAGTGCAACTTAAGAAAGAAAAAATAACTACTGCATTTATGATTACTACAAAAAAAAAAACCCACAAAAGTAAATGAGCCTGAGTTGACTTCCATGGTAGACCAGAGATATGAACCCTACATTTTAATGTTTATTTGCTGTGCAACGTTTCACTGGACAGATCTACTGACCTTATCGAATGATATTCTGACTGTAGAAGTTTATCTTATCTGAATGTATGGTCATGCTTTGTATTAGGCTCACTGAGCAGCACTTTATGTGCAGTTACATGCACCAATGACTGGAAAAAATCAACGACATTTTTCAAAAGTTTATTTTGTACAATTCTGCAAAAGTATATTCATGCATATTTTCTTGGTATCACACTGGAATTAAACCTTGATGGTTACACATATGTCCAAATAAAATAAAAATAGAAGGACGGAGAGGTTTCTATTTTATTCTACTTTTTAAATACCTTCTCCTTTTATTTGTTATTTATTTTATTTGTTATTACAATAGAGAATAGATCATAATTTTGTACAAAACATATAAGTTCTTTGATTAAATTGTGTAGAGCAATCTGTGCAGTGAGGGTAAATTGGATTGGACAAGTAAATAAAAATTTTAATCCCCCCCCCTTAAATATTTTAATATATTGACTACTAGCCACTCCCTGCCATGTGTTGAGGTGGCCCAGTCTGGCGAGCTGCAAACAAAAAGTAATGAGAAAGTGTTGGTTTCTAATATATGTAATTCCTTTATGCTTGTGAGTAAACAGTATTTCTTGGCATTGCAGTCCTATATGCCAAATTTGGTTCAATTCCATTGTTGCCAGAGTTCAAAATGCTCTTTGATTGTAGGTGAACTATATATCCTAGCAACTACAACTCCCAAATGACAAAATAAATTTTTTGACACCTACTAACCCACTTCTTGGGTTAGTAGATGTCTTGTGGCCAAATTTGGTGGCAATTAATCCAGCAGTTTTTGAGTTATGATGTCACTCAAAACGAACAGAGCATTTATATATAGAGAGATAAGTAGGGTAAGTGTGTGCTACTCAAAGTGTTAATTACTGGACCAGTGGAAATCCACAAGTTTCCAGGAAAGAAAAAGCTGGATCCAATGGGCACAAATGTGTCCAAATCTTTGACACATTGGGAGAAATCTCTGCCAGGCCCCAACATCAGATACCTTAAGAAGCACCAGTGTAAGATATTATTTGTCCAGTTTTTGGTCTGTTTCTTGGATTTGTCCTTAATTTACATGTGCTGCTACAGTATATATAAATAAGATTTCAAAAGAAAAAAATGAATAGAGATTGCCAAGGAAATTAGTGAAATTGTTGACCTAGTACCTTCCTCAGCTGAGCTTTCTAGAGATAGAAAGCCATGATTGCATCAAAAAATAGCAGATAACCTTAAACTGCAGAAGCATTGCAATCTGAAAATACATTATGTGAACTTTATCTAAGAAAAAGGATGTTACATAGTTTACGTTAGTCTAAGCAATATTTATAGAGAGATCTAAAAGACATCTTAAAAGTGTTCTCAATTGGTTCAAGTGCTAGAGAACAGAACAACTACCATATACATCTCTGGGAAAAAGTATGGTGAAGAAACTGATCAGCAAGTTACTCTTCCTATTCATACCAGTTTTTGGTCATTCATTGATGTGGATTTTTCTTCTTCCAAAAAGCATGTTCAAAAGGATACTCTTCTAATTGGCCAAATGGTGAGTCCTAAACTTTGATGTATTATTGTACCATATTAATACTTCTTCGAATGAAATTGTTGATTTGCGGATATTTCCTGAAATAGGTTGGGCAATTGTGGCATGTGTCTGAGGCAATTTATTTTTCACCTGGAAGACCAAGTTCTAAGTGAATACAAGCAACCTATTCCTTGAAGTGCCTATTAAATCGATCAGATAACATCCTAAATGAAACTTTCAGAAGACATGCTTCTCTAAGGAAAGAAAATGGAAATTTACCATATTTTTCAGATATCTCTCACTATAAAATAAAAGGCATTTTCATTGTTATCATATGGTAACATTCTATTATAAAATATTACTTTTGTTTTTGTTTTGATTAGGACTTGAACTCTATTTCAGCTAATCTTGTTGATGCTTTTGGACTTTTGATACACTGCAATGAAGCACCATTTTGCAATCCAGTTCTCCCTATTGCAAATTTCATTTTTAAAAAAGCTATTCAACCAGAAGAAGATTATAACATGCTCCAACAGTTTACAACACAAGATTATGAGGAGGTAATTAACATTAACACTGAGCCCCCAGTGGCGCAGAGGGTTATAGCGCTAAGCTGCTGAACTCGCTGACCGAAAGGTCACAGGTTCGAATCCAGGGAGCGGCATGAGCTCCCACTGTTAGCCCCAGCTTCTGCCAACCTAGCAGTTCAAAAACATGCAAATGTGAGTAGATCAATAGGTACTGCTCCAGTGGGAAGGTAATGGCGCTTCATGCAGTCATGCCGGCTACATTACCTTGGAGGTGTCTACAGACAACACCGGCTCTTCGGCTGAGAAATGGAGATGAGCACCAACTCACAGAGTCGGACACAACTGGACTTAATATCAGGGGAAACCGTTTACCTTAATTAACATTAGCAATTATAACAAAATAAAAACAATTTGATAATGGTTCCAGCAGTTGTGTGATGCAATGTTCCTGAATATTTTTTTATCATTTTAATTTCACTCCTGCTTCAGATGAAACCCAGTTTATTTTGACTGAATGAGATGTAAAATATCATTTTTTCCCTTTTATAATTTATTCAGTTAAGAAGATTTTGGTCTCTGTGGTCCCAAACAAGAATGATGCCTGTTACTTTTGAAATTATGTGAAACGCATCTCTTGTTTACAATTTGAGTGGCAAAACTGATTAGCTATGGAAAACTTTAAAAGTCTCGATATGTATCCATAAACAGGGACTCAAGAATATACCATAGTCAACAATCTTGGCTTACAGAATCATAAGAGTTGAAAAGAGGCTACAAAGGCCATCCAGTCCAACCCCCATCAAAGCATCCAGTCTCTGATTTAAAATCTCCAGGGGAAGACTCCAGGGGAAGACGCTCTGAGGCAGCATATTCCACTATCAAACAGCTTTTACCATCAGGAGGTTCTTCCTAATATTTAGGTGGAATTGCTTTTCCTATATTTTGATTCCGTTGCTCTGTGTCTTAGATTTTGGAGACGTAGAAAACAAGATTGGCCCCTCCTCAATGTGACATCCTTTCAAATATTTAACAATGGCTATCATGTCCCCTACCAACTTTCTCTTCTCCAAGCTAACATTATTGTTCCCCATATATCCAGCAACCTATAATTTCAAATGTAGGGAACTTGCACCCTCTTCTCAGCAATTGAAAATACTACCTCCAACTACCAGGTACCCTGATCATTATAATATTTATTTATACCCTGCGTTATTTCGCCCAATGGGGACTCAAAGAGGCTTATCATAAAAGCATCAACATAGCCATTTACCATATACAAGAGAGACACATGGTGACCCATAACGTCAGCCATAGCCTCAATTATTATTGGGATGCAACACTCCTGTCTGTCTCCCAGGAAGAACCACACAGTAAGGAGTCCAAAGTATAAACTACTACAATCAATTGTAGTCAATCCTGCAGATCATTTGATTGAAAGACAGTATATCACATTTTAAAATTATAATGTAGATGCTGCAATATTTGTTCAGATTTTAAAATTAATTACTTTGTAATGACAAAAGCATGTCAGACATAAATGGACATACGTTATTCATGTTTTCATACATGTTTTCTTATATGTACTTCAGGTGCAGACAACTTCCCAGACCCACACTACACAGTCTCACTGGCCTTAGGATTGCCAAGCTGCTTGGGTTAGATGGGTTTTTCTGTTTTTAGGCATGACACCTGGTGTCCATTTGGATTATTGGATGGCTTGTATTCCAAGTTTTAGTTTTCAAATTCTTTCTGGTAACTGATATGGATGAAAATGTGGTCACTATTCTGTCCAATTGGTTAGCTAAAAGCAAACTTATTATTGCCTTTCAGTAAACTAAATGAACAATAAGGCAGGTAGAGAAGAGGAAAAACAGTTGCACGAAGTACAAGGAAAAAGAATAGTGTAGGTCTAATCTAAAGCAGAGAGAAAACAATATTAAAAAATTAATAAAGAATGCTGTACAATTAAAATACCTGTGTTTGTTATGTATTCTAATTTTATTCTTTTTTTTTCAGTTCCTTGCTTTTTCAAGGAACTTGCATGTGGAACTCTCTCCAGAAGCAGAAAATATGATTCACGGCTACTATTTAGCAAGTCGCAGAGTCAGAGCATTTCCCATTATTGGATCAAACCTCTCACCAACAGCACTGAGTATCTTGTAAGATTTCGATTACATGTTAAAAATCATATGGTTTTGGAGGACGAATGGTGATGTCTGCATTATAGTTTACTCTAGAAAACAATAAAGAGCATTATGGTAATTTACATGTTCTGTTTGGCATATAATTGCAATGATTTTGTGGATTCCTGATCATTCCTTAGACACGCCTGATGATTGTGCAGATGGAGTCAACTGAAGCGTATTAGTCTTTTTGAATATTTGAGGAAGTAGTTTCTCTATAAACATTTTCCATGTGTGCTAGAAATAAAGTACAGGCAGCTGACCTGTTTACACTATGCAAAGGCATGTATGACCTCTACATACATGATTGGACAGTATTTTCATAACTATATAGTATGCATGTCAACATGGTTGCGATGTAGTGTATAGATCATATAAGATTCCTTAGCAACTAGCACTTTCAGTTCCTAAGGAAACTAGACTGCTGAAGTTTGCCAATCTGATTTAAAATTAACAATTAAATGTACTTGCTTCTATTTTAGGATTTCACTGTCAGAAGCACATGCTAAACTGAGTTTAAGAACAAAAGTACTTGAAGAAGATGTTTTGATTGCTGTGCTATTATTTGAATCATCTCTTACTTTAAAACAAGGTAAAATCTTCCATTTCAAGCAGAACAGTTTTTCATAAATATTACAGAGTTCATATATGGTAATATCATCTATCAGGTTTTTTTACGTTTAAGTATAAAGCACAGCTTCAAATATAAAGAGCTACTTAATTTTTTAATATGCTCACTTTTCAAGAGGTAGTGACATTACCTCTTGAAAAGACTACAGTAGAAGTTGGTGGCAAAATAAAGACACCTGACAGCATTTGGATGAAATATAAAAAGTATAATAAAGGGTCCATTTCCCTCAGAAACGTTCCAGTATGAGCTCCTATACAGGCATGGGCAAACTTGGGCCCTCCAGGTATTTTGTATTTCAACTCCCAGAAATCCCAGCTAGATTACTGGATGTTAGGAAATGTGGGAGTTGAAGTCCAAAACACCTGAAGGGCCGAAGTTTGCCCATGCCTATTCTATAGGCTCTGTGGTTCATTCAAAGTTGATTTTTGCTACATCCATACTGTGTACAATGTTCACAATTTGCACAAAAGATCGCAAATTACCTGGATATATATACTGTAATAAAAGTGGCTTTTAAGTTCAAGTATACTTAATCTAGTCATTCGTTCACTACAAAGACAACAGAAATGTTCCATCCTATCATAATTAGAGACCACTCTACCTACTTGGAGAGCTTCCAACCCCTAAAGCTTATGTTCAGGTCATGGGAAACTGTCCTGCGGGGAGGACATGTTATGGCAAAGATGAATACCTTTTCCGTCACATTCTTCTGTATTTTGATTGTGAGATGTTCACATGCATACTGAAAAGTCTCAATGCTTGGAAGAAATGATGTGAATTAACTTTTTTTGCTTTCCTTTAACAGGTGCTTCAGTATTTTATGTGTCTCCAAACCCTGTTTTTCCATTTGAATTTAACAGTGAGGATTCTCTGAATCAAAGAGATGTTTACTTGAAGCAGTGTCATCTACAACTGATGCAGTTCATTGCAACATATGGGCCTGCTACAAATGTTTTCAGTAATGAAGATTAACATCCCTTCAAATATGACTGTTTTGTTGCCTTTTTAAAGAATAAACCTGAAAGTGCAAGTTAATATCAATTTGAAAGTTTTTAATATTCAGCATAAATACTCAATTACGGAACCCTGTTGTCAGCAGTAAGAATTTCCCTTCCCTTTATTATACCGTGAAAAATAGGTTTTAATGTTCAGGCTTAATAATCAGCCACTAGAAGGCTACACCTAGCTATACTCCTTTGTTGTCATTATCCTCACATGGAAAGTAATATGGTTGAATAGAAGTTCCTTCCAGTTTGGAGACCAGTAATTGAATACTCATTCAGCATGGTTTTTTAACCAGTTATGGATCTATCCGAGTGTTCTCATATGTTTCACATTTAACCTGTTTGCTAATTTAAACATTGAATGCTTTCCTAAAATCTAGATAAATGGCATTTACAACCTTCCTGCCATCTACTAATCCAGCAACTGGATTGGGTGAAAAGATATAAGTTGCTTGGCAGGATTCTTTCTTGATATGCAAAAAAGACCTTTGGGATTATTGTGAATCCTAAACAAACAAGAGCCAACTGTGTGATGTTGCACAAAAATGTGAATGCAATTTTAGTTCATAGAAGCATAGCTTTACAATAAAAAGTAATACTAGTCCCTCTATATTCTGCCAGGCCTCACATGGAGAACTGTTCCATTCCGGGCGCCTCATTTTAAGGATATTGCCATACTGGTGAAGGTTCAGAGAAGGAGAACAAGTGTAAGAAGTATGGCCTGATCTCTTCCCCAAAGGATATGGCCAAGTCTAATGGTTTGAAGTTACAGGAAGGTGCAGTTTATTTAGACATTAGAAAGGGCTTCTGGACAGTAAGAGTGGCTCAGCAATGAAATCAATTGCCAAAATGGATAATAGGGGTCTCTGTATCTGGAGGTATTAAAAAAAAAAAAAGGCTGGGCAGCTGCCTATTATGAATGCTTTAACTGAAGATCCTGCACTGAGCAGGAGTTTGGACTAGATGACCCGTGAGGTCACTTCCAACTCTGTGATTCTGACTCTGTGATAGAGACTTTTTACATGAGCAAGAATCCTGATCTTATCACTTTATTGTGTCTTATGGAGAGTTTTCAACACAAGCAGGAATTTCCCTTCAATTACATTGCTTTATCTCTAAGGAAAGTGAAGGAGGAGGAAAGGACTAAGCACTTGCCTCTTCAAATGGTGATTCAACCATGCATGTAATCCATGAAGAGAGTTTATATTAATGAAGCAATGACTAGGGACAGAATTGCCATTTAGCTTGTGGCTGATACTGCTTTGGCTTTCCCGTTCCCTTCAGTATTAGTAAATAACTTCTTATTGTAGTAGTAATACCTTACCTACTAAACCATTTCATGTTTAGGAAAATATTAGAATTTAAAAGCATGCCTTTAGTTTCCTTCAATCATCTCATTCACACTAATTCCACCCCCCCAACCCCCCCCCAAAAAAACCCCCAGGTCAAACGATAAGATATGGAAGCATGAACAAGCATCCTTAAAGGATCCACATATGTCTCATATATCTTGAATCCTGTCATATTCTGCCTGTATTACATAAAGAGATATAAAAGAATAATGAAAAAGTCAATGAAGCATTGAAAACGTGAACAATTTATTTTCCGTATACTGATTGGCCAATACAGAGTGCAAAGAGAGTCAGTATTGCTAGGCAGCCCTTGGAAAAAAACACTGAAAAATATCGTCTTAGAAAAAGATGGAAAATAATCTGGCTTTCAAAACATCATAAATACCCATCTTGTCTCCTATGTCATCATTTGGGAGCCCCTCCCTCCAGTACCAACTACTGTTCTGGGACCAGAGTGAAGAGAGGGGGCCAGGATGACAGTTCCAACTTATTTCCTGCACTGTGGTAATAATATATTGTATATACATATAATATTGATAATATTATAATGTAATACAATATAATACTAATAATAATACATTATAATTATATATTTTATATTACATGTAATGTTACTAATAATATCACAGTATAATGGTGTAGTACAATATAGTAATATATAATACTAATATTGTACTATGGTAATAATACAATTTATTGTATTTACATATTACTTGTAAGCTGCTCTGAGTCCCATTCGGGGTGAGAAGAGCAGCATATAAATGCCGTAAATAAATAAATAAAACCATAACAGTGACAACAGTGGTTGTCTTTTTTTGTCACCCTGCCAAAAAAAGGAAATGGGCATGTCATATTAAGAAGCTTCAATCATCTTTCTATATCAGGCTAATAAAATTAATATGGTTATATATAAAGCAAACCCTCAGAATTTCTATGAATAGTAGCCTTTCAAAATATTTATATATTTAATGTTTTTCTTCTTCCTGGTGTCTGTAAACCACACAACTGGGTACTGAGAACTGCGCAGTCTCTCAGAATATTTTAGTATTATTAGGCAGGAAAAAGTTCTGGCAGTAACACCGCAACCCCCTCTCATGTCAATATATAAGTAATTGGTTGCCAGCAAATCCTCAGTTCTTTTCCCTCCACTGTGCAGCTGCCTCGGAAGGAACTTAAGTTTACATTAGAAATCTCAGCTTCATCTGGATTGTTAAGATGACGACCGAGTCTGACCAACTGACTTCTGACCAACTTTCCTCAGTTAGGACCAACTGTTGTTTAGTTTCTACATTTTAATTACCTCATTGCTACTTCCGATGTCTTCAACAACTCACTTCAAATGTTGTGAGAACTATAATGGTAAATTGCCAGACATGGATGGCCATTCTATGTGTCATTTATGTCTTGAAGAAGGGCATGTAGTGCAAAGTTGCACAATTTGCCAAGCCTACTCCTCAGTTGAGGAAGAATAGGGAGACAAGATTAAAATTGCTACTGCACGAGAAGCCTTTAGCTCCACAATCTCCTCTTGCCTTTGTAAAATCTGAAATTTAAGAGAGAGAAAAATCAGATTTAGAAAAACAAAAATACATAAATCTTGAACATGGAAATTGCATTTAAATGTGCAGAGTGTGTGCAGAAATTGCAAATATTTAAGCCCATTCTCTTCACATTTCAATGTGATGAATCTCTTTCTTAATTAAAAAGTGTATTGTTTATTTATAATTCATATACAGGCAGACCCCAGGTTACGAACAAGATAGGTTCTGTTGTATTTGTACGTAAGTCAAAAAAGGTACATTTTAAAGTGTGACTCCAGTATATATTCATAAGCATAAACTTTGGATGGGGTTAATACCCCTGTGGTGTTTGTTTTGCTTTCTGTCCCTGTGACAACTGGATTTTGAAAAATTTGGCTTATTGTGGAAACAAGGATTGCTGATAAAAGCTTCAATTGCAACTCCTTTCCCCCATGATAACTCTTCCAGAGGTGAATTCCCTTTCTTTAGGGGTAAATTTCTCTCACTTCCTGATGTCTCACCCTTGTTTCTAACTATGAGTAGTTCATAAATCGAATGTTTGTAACTCGAGGAGTGCCTGTATCTGTTAAAGGTCAGTGCAAAACCAAGTACAATTTATTCATGACACTTGCAAACAATTTACTTTGACAGTTTTTGATGAATTATATTGTTTACTAAGTACCTCAGGCTCCAAGCAGTACTTTCATGGCTGCAAAAAGAAAATGTTGTAAGGTCTCATTTCTGAATATCCCCAAATTCAGGAAGACCCATGATCAAAGCATTCACTAAAACATAAAAAATAATAACATTTGTAAGCTCTGACAAATCATATATTCATTAACCTATTTAAAACTTTACTGGCATCTCAGAATTAGGAAAGAACACATCAGGATTTATTCAGATGGGTAAACGGCAAAAGGATATCATCATTGTGCCAGCAATACAATTTTATAACACATACACATATACTCTCTCAAAAACAAGTACACTATGTAAAACAAATATTTTTTACATTAAAATATTTCCTTATTTTTATACTTGGAAACACCAGGAAAAAAAGTGTGCATGTGAGACACAATTTCAGACTCTGAGAATCAACTACTTGATGTATTGTCAAAGGCTTTCATGGCCGGAATCACTGGGTTGTTGGTTTTTTCGGGCTATATGGCCTTGGTCTAGAGGCATTCTCTCCTGACGTTTCACCTGCATCTATGACAAGCATCCTCAGAGGTAGTGAGACCTCACTACCTCTGAGGATGCTTGCCATAGATGCAGGTGAAACGTCAGAAGAGAATGCCTCTAGACCATGGCCATATAGCCCGAAAAAACCTACAACAACCCAACTACTTGATGTTTATCTTAATTTGACATTATTTTAAAAAAATGACTATGCATCTACTGAAAACTAATTTTACTAAAGAGCATGATTTTTGTCCTACGTAAGATAAAAAGTCACACTCACCCTGATCTCTATTGTAAAGGCAAGATGAAACCATGATTGTTCTACACAAAAAGATAAAACATATGAGGTAAGATAACTGATATTACTTCTTATGCGTAATATTATCGTCTAGAAAAAAAATTATACAATCCTTTGAGTACAAATATAATTATCTTGGAATTGATAACATACTTAATTTTATACACAAGTATAGTCACCAGTAGAGACAAAAATCTATTATTCCGTAAAGTGAGATATTTCAACTGGCTCATCCCACACAGCAAATTTTGTTTGTAACGATTTCTATGGAATGAGAAGTGAAAAATTCCCAGAGAACATCTCATAAAATGACAATGGTAACACTATTTGCATACTGTCATTTTATATGTTGAAGCTGAGAGAGTTAACAGTCAACATCCACAGAAACACTTCATTTTTAAGAGCATAAAACATGCATGGGGTGTGTGTAATCTTGGCATATTATTTATCTTGTAAACTTGCACATTTGCCATGTTGCATATATTTGTAAACATGGCCTACATTCTGTTAGGTTTACTGTATTAGGTTAATCTATGTGTTGACTCACCATTCAACAATTAAATAATTGAGTCTATTTTGGAAACACTTGTTTCCAAAATATATTGTTTCTTTGTGTTTGGTACCCACAGGTTTGCATGTACTGCTATTATTTCCAAGTTTGTCCATAATCAAGTTGACTCTCCTCCTCCCAACAAAAAAACCTCCAGATTTTTCATTAGAAATCTTTTCTCCTTTGATCTTTGATTATTTGGCCATCCTATTTAGAAAAATGCTGAAAAAAGAAAAGGCAATATTCATGCATTGTACATTAAAATAACTATACAACATTGTTAGTGTTATTCACTTTAGTTGCAGTAATTAAAAGACGGAAAGACAGCCGAGTATTTTATTGTATTTTCCCACCAAAACTGTGAGGGACGACATGATGGAAGGTTATGTTATATGAAAATTGTTCTTATAAGCTTTTACTTAAAACGCCCTCACTAAAGAACGTCTTCTGTTTGTTATGGGCAATACATTATTACGCTGTTGTCATAAGCCATCAAACAAACCCACGTGTATTGGGTTCAATCTGAGAACCAAGTCCTTTAGCATCATCAACCCAAGGCTTCAATAAAATGAAATCCCCAGACTTAAATAAACAGTGAAAAGGGCACAGGTCAGGTCTATATGATGACTCTCTAACCAATCTCACCACTGACAAAGAGGCAATTTATCATTAGGGCTGGGACATCCAGCTGGTGCTACTGATTTATGAAGACATCAACTACAGTAATGATCTTTAGCTGTCTAATTCATCATTGCTAAGACAACTTCATAGACTGGAAATAACTCAAAATAATCAATATGGTAAGTAAATTTTCCACATTGTTTCTTGAATAAAACACCTAATGAAACTTTAATGTGGCCCATTAAACCAAGTTTCTTTAATCAAGAAAGTCTGGGGGAAAAGCAGCAGTAATTGCACATTAAAATATCTATGCTCACTATTCTTTCATAGTAAAGCCATTTCTGGGTTGAGGTTACAAGCACTTTGTTTTATAATCCTCTGACAGCAGGATTTTCTAAGAGACTGTAATTTTAGCTTGGTTTGGTATAAAAAGGAAGGGAAAGGGAGTCTTGTGAATCTTTTAATACAAATTGATTTACTCTTGAATAAGGTAGTATGGGTTATAAACCACCCTGTGATATCCCCCGATAAAATACATTAAAACCTCAAAAATACATGTACAGAAATTTTCCCTCTCCTTAAATTATATTTTTAAAGGACAACACAGTTTTAATGAAAATAATAAACTCTAAATCATTTTGATAAAGACTCACCGGAAACGATTTTTGTTTAGCTGGCTCAGGTTTCAGAGGAGTGATGTAGCAAGACTCATTCCAAGTAAGAGAACAGTAATCTGGAAACTCTTTAGGAAGATGAGGACGAGAGTACAAGAAAGATGTGTTATGGCTGTTGCAAGTTTCTCAAGTGTCCACATGTTTCATGAATGTGCTCTGCACTCACCAAGAGAAAAGTGTTGGGACTCAGCCTGGGTCTTCAAAGTCATTAACTAACCTGAAAGCTTCCAAACAATAAACCTTTCTAATCAGCAGATAAGAAATTGTTCCCATTCAAAATATCAAAATAGTCATCTTCTGTTGCAAATATATGAATTTCTTCGTTACTTCACCCCATATGAAGAATGCATTTATTTATTTAATGCCCTATCTCCTGGCATGGGATTCAAGGCAGAATAATCAAAATGGCGATCTCTGTGCCTTCTTAGTTGCAAATATATGAACGGCTTCTTTAAGATCAATAATTTCAGCCAGTTCATGTTCAATTGCTACAACTGCAAGTCCCTCTATTCTGTCCTGCATCATTGTAGAGTACAAATGTGTTTTTATCAACTGCAGCTTGGACAAACAATGGCCTCTGCTGGCAACTGTTATAGGAAGTGTTAGAAGTATGCGTAGAGCAATAAAAGTATTTGGAAATAAGGTGACTATTCTTTTTGCACAAATATATTCCAAAACGTCCTTTGGAGTTGAGCCCACAGGAACATATTTGGAGAGTGCTTTCAGTTCGTCATGTAAATCATTTCCATCAATGTCACGCAATTTGCCATGAGTTAGAACTTTTTCTAGAGCTCCACACTGCTGTCGGAGATCCTCAGGTGTAATTTCATTGAGACATTTTATATCATATAACATCCCAAATATATTACTGTGTTCCTTGAGTTGCAAGAAACATTCTTCAACTGACTGGATAGCACAGGCTAGGACTTGGTTAAAAAAATTAACTCTGAAGTATTGTTTGGGGTCTCTGATTAGATCTCTTGCTTCAAAATGAAAATCTGTGATGTGGCGAGATCTAAGTTCTTGTACAGGTGGAAAATCAACATCAATAACAAGCTCTTCTGCTAATTTCTGTGCACTTTTCAGAATATTTTCAAATCCCTCATCTGACCAATAACATTGGAGATATAACTTTGTTTTATCAAGTTGTTTTACTACTCCAATAATATCGAGGTTGACTTCCTGCAGTTTCTCGTTCACAACATTTATTTCTAACAATATGTCATGCCACAAAACTAGACAACACAGAAACTTGAAATTGCATATATTACCTGCTACCCTCTCCCCCTCTACCTGTGTTTTGCTATGAGCAGCTCTTGTCAAAGCACCATCCTCCATAACTGCATTTATAGCATCATATACTTCCCCAATCCGATGTCTGATAACCTTTACTGCCTCTACACTACTTTCCCACCTTGTAGATTTTGGAATAAGATTGAAAGTTCCCAGATACTGCTTAAGAACTTCCCATCGACGTGCTGATACAGAGAAAAAAACATAGATACTTTTGACTGCATTAAAAAATTCAACCGCTTCACTAAAATTAGATGCAGCATCTGTGACTACTATGTTCAATGAATGGGAATTGCACGGGACAAAAAAGGCACAGGGGTTTAACTCCTGCAGCCATGTTTGCAGCCCACTGTTCTTCCCTTTCATGTTGGCTCCATTATCATAACTCTGTCCTCTCATATCTACTATTGCAATACCCATTTCTTCCAGCCTCTTAAGGAGGACATTTGCCATACTACATCCTTTAGCATCATCTACATCAATAAATTCTAAGAAATGTTCTCTGATGTTCACCACTGCAGCAACATTTGCAGTTGCTTCTACTGCAGTTACAAAACGCACCATTAAGATCATTTGTTCAACATGGCTGCTGCCAACTGTGCAATCCAAAACGATAGAGTAATATTTTGCAGACTTTAGAAGTGACAAAATCTTTTGTTTTACTTCTGTTGCCAGTAACTGAATGATCTCATTTTGAGTTGTTTCCCCCAGATAATGGCTATGGATTTCTTTGGTGGTTACTCTTCTTAAATGCTCTTTAAGTACAGAATCAAACTCTCCCATCAACTCCACAATTTTAAGGAAATTACCATTATCTGGCACAAAGAGCTGATCTGAAGTTCCATACAATGAGAGATTTTGAGCAGCAAGCACTTTCACAATGCCAATGAGCCTCTTCATAACATTTTGCCAGTGATGTGTCTCAGATGCCATCTTTTCTTGATCTTTATCATCTATGTTTACCTTCAATTTTAGCCGTACCTCAAGCTCTTTCCAGCTACAAAACGCTTTCTGGTGATAAGGTGTCTTTTCATGGCTCGCTAAATTTCTAGCCAAGTTTCTCCAATCCTTTGTTCCGTTAGAACATAATGCAAATAAAGTATTGGGCTGGAAAAGTTTGCAGCAAAAACAGTAGGCAGCATTCTGGGTCTTTGAATACATAAGCCATGGTCTTTCCAACTTGTCCCCATTAGGTAGTTCACGCCAGTAATACATGCGATGGAAGCTTCTCTTTACAGAATCTTTTGGGAAACTGAATATTTTCACTTGCTGTGGACCATTCAGTACAAGGAAATCTCTCATATCACTATTCATATCCATCCACAGACCTGGATCGTCTAAAATGGATGGACTGTACTCAGTGGTAGCCGTGACCAGCTCATCCACCATAGTTACATCTGTTTTGTAATCTTCAGATATATGCATCTTAACTTCTGTTTGAGATGAGGATGCAGTAATTGTTGGCTCATCTGTAGTCTGACTATTTAGAACAGTCACTTCCTGACAGCCAGCACTTACACACATTCCAGTGTCTACAGAAGCTTCACCTGTAGTATCTACTGTTATAAAATTCATAAGAGCATGCTTTGACTTAGATGGGTAAGCTGCCTTTAACTCCCTTTTCCTTTTTGCTGCACCAGAAAGGTGTTGCCTTCCATCAGACATAGCTATTGCAGATTCGTAGTGTTTATGAAGCAAGACCAAAGGATTCTGAAGAAATGTGGCTGTACCTGAAAAAAATAAAGTACAAAACCTGGCTGCTAAAGTAGTTTTGTCTTAACGTACTTACTAAATACTGCAACAAAAAGTTCTTTTTTATCGGTTTCCATACTGATGCAGTCAAAGTGGCTTCAATTTCTCCAAGTCTAACCAGGCTGAGTGCTTTATTTCTGCAGTCAGCCTGAACTGTTTTTGTAACAAAGTGGAGGTAAAGGCACTTTATCTGCATCCAGCCTGTAAATGCTTCTCTGGAACCATGGCTGAAACAAGTTATATACCCACTTCTTAATCTGCTCAAAATTCCTTTAAGCAAATGACTATAGCAAATGTGACTTGAGCTATCTGAAGTGCATTCCAGGTATAATACATTAAAAGGAAAGAGAGGACAAGTAGAGAGAGAGAGACAACCAGTGTGCTATGGTGAGGGAGGAAAAGAAGGGATCTATTTTTTTTCTGGCTGCTTTCTGCATAAGAGTTTGCAGATTACAGTCAACCCTTCACATTCACTGGGGTTAGGGATGAAAACCACAAATACATAAATACATTGCTTTTTTTTAAAACTGAGATAACACCTCTCTGAGAATTTATAACGCTATATGCATGACTCTATGGTCAACATCTGCTTTTTGAACACAGAATCACATTGGATGACCCATATTTCTAGAGAAGTGTTCTCTAGGTTATCCAGCATGACTGGGGGAAATTGACCAGTTACTTTGGAGGACCTAGAGATAACATTTTTATCCAAATCTGTGTATAATCAAGCCCAAGAAAGTCTAAACCACAATGTGTGTGTGCGTGTGGAGGGGAGGGGGGGGATATTCTAATAGCTTTGGGGAGGTGGGATAAAAAACTGTTAAAGGAAATACAGCAAACCAGTTTGCAACTCATGACATTAAAATTCAAATGTACATAAATATAATTCATTTTCTGCTTTCCAGGTTCTGATGTACAGAAACATTGAGATGTGTCATTCTGTCCCCACTTCATGATGCATAAGCACATGGCAGCAAATGCTCAAATGCCACAGTAATTGTGAGGAGCCACTACCAGTCACGTCCAATTGCATATTTGCCCTTTCTCTTTGAGTAACAGAAATAACAAGCCTTCTAAGAATGAGTCCTTATACTCTGTCTTCACCTCAAAGAAAGCATTAAAACAAAAGAAGACCACATATGCCTTCAGAGCATATGCCGTGCCCTACCTTGGAGCTCTGCCATAACAGTTGCTTGGAATGTACTTTCCAAGGCCAACACTAATCAGCACTCATATACTGGCTAAGCAAGTTCAGCTTGATCAGTGAAACACTAGCAAAGGGGAAGAGGAAATAATGAGGCACTGGCCTTACCCTCCATCCATGCAGGGATTTGTAAGCCAATCAATTGGAAAAAAAAGGGACACATCTAGACAGCCTCTTTATAGCGGTAGTACCCGCACTTTAAAGTGGGCTGTTCAGATGACGTCCCACAGAAAAACAAATTCATTCACCATAAACCAGGAAAGCCCTGGTTTGCTGTGAATTAATTTGAAAGGCGCGGGACAAACGCAATACTTCCGCTGTCTAGACTGCTCCCTCGAAAGTTCTGGACTTTTGAGGGCAGTCCAGACAGTAGTCCCACGTTCCTCTGCACTACATTACCCCAGAAAACGGCATGCAGAGGTGCCCTGATTCCTGAGCATTCGTTTAAGAGTTCCCCAAAGGTTAACAAACAAAAGAAATGGATGGCCCTTCCACACAGCCCTATATCCCAGAATATCAAGGCAGAAAGTCCCAAAGTATCTGCTTTGAAATGAGTTATCTGAGTCCACACTCAGATGATGTGGGATTTTCTGCCTTGGTATTCTGGGATACAGGGCTGTGTGGAAGGGCCATTGTTTCTTTGTTAACCTTTGGGGAACTCTTAAACCAGGGGTCCTCAAACTTTTAAAATAGAGGGCCAGGTCACAGTCCCTAAAACTGTTGGAGGGCTGGATTATAATTTGAAAAAAGCATGAATGAATTCCTATGCARACTGCACATATATTGTTTGTAGTGCAAAAAAACACTTAAAAARAATAAAATGAAAAACAATTTTAACAAACATAAACTTATTAGTATTTTAATAGGAAGTGTGGGCCTGCTTTTGGCTGATGAGATAGGATTGTTGCTGTGTGCTTTCAAGTCATTTCAGACTTAGGTTGACCCTGAGCAAGGGCCGGGTAAATGACRTTGGATGGCRYTATTCGACCCTTAGTTTGAGGACCCCTGTCTTAAACCGGGTCCTCAAACTAAGGCCCYGATGRGGCCCTCCAAGGTCCTTTACCCGGCCCTCACTCAGGATCAACCTATGTCTGAAACGACTTGAAAGCACACAACAGCAACAACAGCAACCTTATCTCATCAGTCAAAAGCWGGCCCACACTTCCCATTGAAATACGAATAAATTTATATTTGTTAAAATTGTTTTTTGCACTACAAACAAGATATGTGCAGTGTGCATAGGAAATTCATTCATTTTTTTTTCAATTTATAATCCAGCCCTCCAACAGTTTGAGGGACTGTGACCTGGCCCTCTGTTTAAAAAGTTTGAGGACCCCTGTCTTAAACTAATGCTCAGGAATCAGGAAACCTCTGCATGAAGATGACGGTATCTGCAGTATGAAAAAAGGAGGGCCCTGAGAAGACAGAATTTAGGCCCTTTCCACACTGCCATATAATCCAGTTCAAAGTAGATAATCTGGATTTTATATAGCAGTGTAGGAAGGGCCTCTGAAGAACTACAGTTTGACACCACTTTCGCTGTCGAGCTGGCATGGGCAAACTTCGGCTCTCCAGGTGTTTTGGATGACAACTCCCACAATTCCTAACCGCCTACCCATTCCTGTTGTTGAATGAACGCAGTCTGACTCCACTCCAGCTAGGCCTGATCCCGGCCTCCCATCTTGAAATCCATCTCCCTTTGCTGAATGAAGGCCTCTAAAGGCCTAGAGAGGGCAACGGGCGGAGGTCCTGCTGGTGGCGGCCCTCAGAGTTAAAGGGATCCCGTGCAATCGGCCTCCTCGTCTGAGGCGATTTCGAGGCCTGAGGCCTAACTTTCCCATTCAGCCCTTGGAGAGGCAGAGGCGCGGGCACTCCCTCCTACCTGCGTCCGAGGCTCCGCCAATAAGGGGCCTTCTCGAGGCGCCCTCGCGCTCACCAAAAGGCTCCCCTGAAAGCCAACGGCCGCTGCCACGCGGGGAAGGAGAAGAGAAAGGGGGAAAAATGAGCGCGGGCGGGAGGCGGGAACCTCAAAAATAAAACCAGCCCATCACGTGACCCTTCGGTTGCTCCTTTTTTTTTCCATCCGGGAAACTCAACATTTAATTTGAAAAAAGGCCGCATGCGCAAGAACAAGAGCCCTTCTTCTCACAACACATCTTACCTCAGAGTGACTGGCAGAAATAGCGCGCCTTCTCGCGATAGGATGAAGAGGCAAGCTGCAGTCCTTCGCCTGCAAGTCTTCGCGGAGCATTATGGGTGTCGTAGTCCTCACACCTTCTCCTGCCTACCTAGGCTGTTAGTTGTTGGGGGAAGGTGTTTATGGACTCCAACTCCCAGAATTCGATTGTGGGGAACTTAAACTCCCAGAATTCCTTCCCATTGGCCTTCCTTGGCTTAGGTTTCTGGAATTTAAGTCTGGGAACCACTGTAGCTGCTCAGGAGCTGAACGGGATTATGTCCACAAGGAAAGGGGAAAGGGCTTCTCTAGGCCAGCCAAGGGTGAACTTGGGCCCTTCTGGTGTTTTGGACTTCTATTCTCACCATTCCTTAAGCGGCCTAGGAGGAAAAGGAAGGCTGTTAGGAATGGTGGAAGTCCAAAAGGAAAGGGCCTGAGGGTGGGGCCTAAAGCTGTTAGGAATGGTGGGAGTTGAAGTCCAAAAGGAAAGGGCCTGAGGATGGGGCCTGAGGCTGTTGGGAATGGTGGGAGTTGAATTCAAAAAGGAAGGGCCTGAAGCTGTTAGGAATGTTGGGAGTTGAAGTCCAAAAGGAAGGGCCTGAAGCTGTTGGGAATGGTGGGAGTTGAATTCCAAAAGGAAAGGGCCTGAGGATGGGGCCTGAGGCTGTTGGGAATAGTGGGAGTTGAAGTCCAAAAGGAAGGGCCTGAGGCTGATAGGAATGGTGGGAGTTGAAGTCTAAAAGGAAAGGGCCTGAGGATGGGGCCTGAGGCTGTTGGGAATGGTGGGAGTTGAAGTCCAAAAGGAAAGGGCCTGAGGCTGTTAGGAATGTTGGGAGTTGAAGTCCAAAAGGAAAGGGCCTGAGGATGGCACCTGAGGCTGTTAGGAAGTGGAACTCTCTGCCCCGGAGTGTGGTGGAGGCTCCTTCTTTGGAAGCTTTTAAACAGGGGCTGGATGGCCATCTGTCAGGGGTGATTTGAATGCAATATTCCTGCTTCTTGGCAGGGGGTTGGACTGGATGGCCCATGAGGTCTCTTCCAACTCCTTGATTCTATGATTCTATGAATGGTGGGAGTTGAAGTCCAAATGGAAAGGGCAGGGCCTGAGGATGGGGCCTGAGGCTGTTAGGAATGGTGGGAGTTGAAGTCCAAAAGGAAGGGCCTGAGAAAGGGGCCTGAGGATGTTACGAATGGTGGGAGTTGAAGTCCAAAAAGAAAGGGTCTGAGAATGGGGCCTGAGGCTGTTAGGAATGGTGGGAGTTGAAGTCTAAAACACTTGGAGGGCCCAAGTTGGCCCTTGGCTGCTCTAAACCCTTCCATCTTCCATCTCTGTATATTTCAGCAATGCTAGGAAATTATCAGTTATGAATAATAATAATTCACTGGTGTGTTGCTTGTATCACGCTGACTATTTCCAGCCCCAATTGTGTTCCAAAGCAACCTTAAGCAGCTTGATTTTACAGCAGTGAAACCTCAGGTTAGATTGTTATAACCCATATTATAATCCTTTGTTAACAAACTTAGAGTAAACATTTAAATACTTATCTGTTTAGTGTCTTACAGTTTCCGTTGATTCAAACATATGTAACTCAAAAACACTTAAATAGTTTTTATTCTCTGTATAGCAACCTGGGTCAGTTTCCTGCAGTACAGTACAGCAAAGAATAACACGTAATATCCAAAAATGTATGTGCATAAAGTATATGTTGAAGAGAGTGTATCCAGCATGTCTTTGGCTCATGTTTATAAACTGTAATTACAACGCTATACCCTCCAGTTAAACATTTCTATGTTAATATATTCTTGTCTGTCACCATTTTTTCCTTAGGGACCACAATGAACAGAGCTGTCTTTGTCCTAAAGTAAGGGCTTTGGAGGCTGGAGTTAAATGAAAAGACAAGTGGGATTAACCCTAAGGACTGGATGGCTATTATTTCTTGCCTGAAAAATAAAATTATAAAGTAGCATGTATTCAAAATCAGAGATAGCTCCTGATGAAATACCATTTTTATGTACAGGCAGTCCCCAAGTTACGAACAATATAGGGCCTGTAGATTTGTTCTTAAGCTGAATTCATTTGTAAGTTGGAACAGGTACATTTTAAAATGTAATTCCATATGCATATACATATACATATATGCTTTGGATAGCATAGGGAAGGGTTAACACCCCTGTGCTATTAGTTTCGCTGTTTATGCCCCTGTTGAGATTTCACCTCACTTTCTGTCCGTGTTAAAATTGGATTTTGAAAATGTGACTTGTGGGAACAAGAATCAGTGAGAAAGCTTCAGGACTCTTTTCCAGAGAGGGCTAAAAACCTTGAAGAGCTACAACTCCCAGGATTCCATAGCATTGAGTCGTGGTAGTTAAAGCTGAATTAATCTGACAGTGTAGATGTGCCATAGCAGTCCATTCAAGTGCTCTTTCATTTTCTCTCTTTAATCCATTTTGAGGAGAAAGAGTGGGGGAAGCAGAAAAAAGAATTGCAAATGAAAATCAATGCCATGTGGATAAATTTCGAGAGTGAGGCAAGGATGAATGTACAGTTAAAGCATTCATTTTTCAAAAGTCAATACGACTGAAAATGGTAGCAGCGTAACAGGCATGGGAAACATGTAGCCTTCCAAGTCATTTGGTTGCAATTCCCATCAGCCCTGGCCATCTTACCCAGGACCCTAGGGCACCACTTCTTAAACTATGGATACTCACTCCATTTGGGGTTCCCTCAGCTTAATGTTGGTGTTGCAAAAAAATTGGCAACAGTAAAAGGTTCCTGAATGTTGCCCATTTACACAATTATTGTTATCATTATTATGTTTATTTATACCTTGCTTTTGTTCTCCACAGGGAGACTCAAAACAGCACAAATCCATTAGCCACAACATGCAGTCTTTACAGTGGATGCTGCATTAAGTGTTTCAGCTGTACTCCACAGAAAAGAAAATTAGCCTGTTTCGCAAACCTTGCAAATTCTGGTTTATTTTTAGTAAATGTTTAATCTTTATATCTATGCCTATTTATTTATTTATTACTATATTTATACCCCGCTGTCCTCACCCCGAAGGGGACTCAAGAGTGGCTTACCTATACACTCTGGGTTATATAAACATTTCTTGGGCAGAAAGGGGTTGCAAGTGAAAAAGTCCCTGCATTAAAGAACAAGTAGAATTGGTATCCAGCAGAACATAAAGCACACATTCTCCATCCATATATTAGAGAGTGGCAAATTATTCATTTTCAAAAGAATGTGCTTACGTCCGGGCAAGCCATATTTTTCATAGTACTGAGAGAATTTGGTTTTATATAAACTCTATGTATTATTATTATGTTTATTTATCTCCCGCTTTTTCTCTCCATATGGAAACTGCTGCTAAAAGCATTGTAAAGTATAGATGACAGTTGGAATGGCTCATGACTTATGTTCTCGGATTGTGTGATTTTAAATAACTGTCTTAATCGATATGTTTTAATGATGTGATTTTAACGTTTATGTTGTTTTATGCTGATATATATTCAAGGCATCGAATTTTGCCTTTGTAGTGAGTTGCCCTGAGTCCCTTCCAGGGTGAGAAGGGCGGAATATAAATAAATTAAATGAATAAATAAATAATGCAACTTAAAATATACATTATACAAGTATTTAAACAGTAATAATAATAATAATTAAATGCATATAAAATCACAGCAGCTCCTGGTGATCTTAAAAACCTTCTTCTTTAAAGGATTGCCTGAATAAAAAGGTTTTCATCTACCACTTGAAGGACAGCAGTAGGCTGCATCAAGGCATAGTTATCATTATGTTGTAATGGGGATGAACCACATGCCATATGCAAATAAATGGGGATTAATTGCATACCATATACAAAGAGAGTTGACAGTGTAGTGTAGTAGCTTAAGTGTTGACCTAAGACTTAAGACTTTCATGCAACTATTAACACACATTCACTTTATCAGAGAAAAGAGGCAGATCAGTTCATTCAAGATAAATATCTAGTGGTAAATGTTTCTTGAGGAAAAAGCAGCTTATGTCTCTTGCAGCAAGAATAACACAATGTATTACGAGCTAGGAATTTATGGATCTCACCTGGGACAATAATTAAGAAGAAACCAGCATCCAATGCTTCATTTGACCATACAAACCCCCTGAGGCCCCTTCCACACAGCTGAATAAAATCCCACATTATCTGCTTTGAACTGTACTGTATGGCAGTGCGGACTCAGATAACCCAGTTTAAAGCAGATATTATGGGATTTTCTGCCTTGATATTCTGAGTTATGTGGCTGTGTGGAAGGACCCTGAGTGACCTTGCAGAAGTCACACTTTCACAGATAAAAGAAATGGCAAACCCCCTTGCAATAAATCTTGTCAAGAAAACCTTATAATGGGGTTGGCATAGGATGGAATCAACCTAAAGGCATATTACTGTTGTTATTATTATCTATACCCCACTTTGGACCGACAATATTTTCATTAGAGCAGGGAGACTCAAAGCAATTTTACATAAAAGCATTTGCATACAATTTAAAACATATCAATATGCAAACATTAAAACAGGATTAAATATAAACAGTATTTTTAAAAACCCCAATTAAAAACCATTAAAACATATTCAAAGTATTTTTATTACTATATTGTTATTTATATCAATAAACATTCAGAGAATCTTCCCACATATTCTTCTTACATATTTTTCAATTATCTTGGCTTCTTGGGGCCCTTTAGCTTTCCTAAGATTTTGACAAATCAACATGGTTTTCTAAGTATTTAATATAAATCTCATATATTCCATAATTCCGATAAATCATGTATAGCACATACATGCATAAGAGAAGATGACTGGATGAACATCTCACTGCACTTTCAATTCTAAAAACATGCAAATGTTTCAACTGAGGTAAGCAAACATGCAAGATCCATTTTTTGCACTAAGGATTTCACCCAATAAAGCATATTATACACATGTTGTAGCATAAAAATACGCCCCCCCCCAAAAAATTTTTTTTTTTATTGTACTGAAGGCAAAGAGGAAGTACGAATGATATTAAATTATATAACCAGGTATATTACTGCTAAATTCAATCTACAAAGCTGCTCAAATGGTTTATATGCTGTACATATTTTCATGCAACTATTAACACACATTCACTTTATCAGAGAAAAGAGGCAGATAAGTTCATTCAAGAGAAATATCTAGTGGTAAATGTTTCTTGAGGAAAAAGCAGCTTATGTCTCTTGCAGCAAGAATAACACAATGTATTACGAGCTAGGAATTTATGGATCTCACCTGGGACAATAATTAAGAATATATTTTGCCATTTTGGAAACTGCAGAAATTGATGAAACAAAAGGGCAACACTCTACTGTATATCTGAACAGACTGTTTCTGAATGTGAATAAACCTAATATCTGAGCAATTTCTAAGTTTCAGAATACCACCTTATTTTAGATAGTGTCCGGTCAACCTAGGAATGGGGGAAATGGCATTGTTGGAGGGTGTATATGAATTTAAATATATCTGGAATAATAAATACAACTCTTTTCAAGAGAAAACACAGGTTTACATTTGTACATTGGTTGAGGTTTCTCCTTGATTTGTGTTTTCTGTTTGCACTGAATGACTCAAAAACTGTCCAGAGGCTCCAATGTATAGTCTTGATCGCATTGGCCATTTCTGCAAGAGAACATACACAAAAAGTGCAAAATAGGTTAGCATTGCTTCGCTGTCATACGGTTTCTGAAACACAAGAAGAGCGAGACTACACAAGAGGAGGGAAAGTGCAAGTGTCTGCAGTTTACAAACGTCCTCATTATCATTACTGACAAACTGCACTAGACAATGAATCAACGAATAATACATTTCCCCCATAAGAAATTAGACAAGATGATGTTAGTGGGGAATAGGAAGCCCCCATGTCAGTGGAATAGTGAATCTACCCCAAGTTTCAGTTTAACCTCTGAAACTGATGTCCAAGGTGCTGAATCTGTTTTTTAAGATAAGGTTCAGCTTCTTTTATGGCTCTTTTTAAAAAACAGATTTGCCACCTCACTGGTATCAGGACCATCAGCTTCCAATAAATGACTCCACACAATTAGCAGTTGCCTAAATGGTGACACTCTTAATTGTTAAATGCATTAAATCTGATCCAAATCAGAATCTGGATTGAGATGGAGCTGGCTTCTACCTTTGTTAGTTGCAACGGGATCAAAACATTATTTCTGTCATTACTGAGAGCAAGGCAGTTGCCTCGGGCAATAGATTTTGGCTGTAGGTAACAAATGGTTAACCGGCAATTAATGTATTTTTCTTCTGCAGATGGGAAAGAGTGTTTGTGTGTTTTTGTGGCTTGTGGTGCTATGAATCCTAACCTGTGACAGAATGGATGCATTTTCTATTCCACCCCAGGAAACAAAATAGCATATGCCAGTTCCAGATCCAGCTTTTTCAATTGATAAGAAAGCTTCTGATTCATGTCAATACAAACAACAACTAGAGAACTAAAGCTTGAGGAAGTGGCTTTCTTTTATGACATCCCCCAGAAACCTCCATGTAATGTGGCCAGTTTTACATTCAAAGTATAGCAGAAAGACAATACAAACATGAATCCAACATGCTATAAGCCCAGTTATTTTAACTGTCAGTTATGAAAAGCAAAATAATGCACACACAAGCTGCATCACTTGTGAATGCCGTCCCTCACTTATACAAAAATATAACAAGACTCAGTTGTGTTGGTTAAACTGATGATGAAAGGGACTATATATTCAAACACATAGCATGGACTATACAAAAGGTGATGAGCAGGTAACAAGACTACACAGTATTTAAAACAATAGCATTTCTCGAATGTGTTACAGGGTTCAAGGGGAGTACATTTCAAAAGGCTTGTGTTCCTCATAAGGGCTCTTTTAAAATGTAACAAAGACAATGTACAATTTTGAAGACAAGAGCATTTCTAGCATCTCTTACAGCGTTCAAGGTGAGCACATTTAAAAATATTTGTTTTTCTGTTCACTTTCAGAATTCGTTTTAAAACCAATTTTGTGTAAGCTACTGAAAATCTTTTTGAATATTGAAAAAATGCAATACTATAAGTCAATGAATGAATAAGAACATGTGGGCATGTATATCTACTGACTTGATAATTAGTCTCACCAAACTCAATGTGATCAATTTTTAGTAAACCTTTATAGCAGAAGTTCCCAACCATTTTTTGAAAAAGGACCACTTTAACCAGGGACCACTCTCCAACAGTAGTACCAAAAGGTTATTAATCAGTTTTTGGTCAACTTTAGATTTGGTTTGATTATTTGGGGTGCTGACTCAGAAAACTGCATTGGCTAGACCACATCAGCTCAAGTTTGTGATGCAGAACATATGCCATCCAGTAGTCGTCATCTACTCACCCACAGAAAACCATTTTTAATGTCTCTGCACTATAAGAGGGTTCCGCATACCAGTTGCTCTTGTTGCAACTGTAGTAACGGTGGAACCACAGACCATATTTTAGTTCTTGGGGATGCATGGATTACAGGTTGGGAACCACTGCTTTATAGATTTGGTTTGTTGACATTGGTAACACAGTTAATTTATGGAATATAAATTAGTTCAGAAGAAGGAAATTAGAGTTGCCTATTTTGTTTGCAAGAAACAAAAGGGACAAGTCCAAAGGTGAAACAAAAAATTCTTATTGGAATTATCAAAATTTTGCCCCCAGGGGTGAGAAAATTGATATAGAAATGTAGTTAATAAATAAATAAATAAATAAATATCTTTTGTGCAATATGCTGTTCAAGCAAGGTTGGAGAAGAGTGATATTTTCCTCTCTATAACAATGTGCAGGGCAAAATCTGCCTTGAAAATGGACTCAAACTTATGCACTAAGCCCTTCCTCTTTTCTCCTGCCATTGGAGCATCTTGCACTTCCCTTAATCTGCCCCAGAGGATCTCCAAACCTCTGAATAGAATTGGAGGGCTCTTGCTAAGCTGCAAAATAAAGAGGGGATTGTATCTTCTTTCTTCTGCAGACAAAAGCTGTTCTTTCACTGGCACAAAACATATAACAATTCAAAGACCTGCTTATGATCTATTAAATCCTCTGTGGCTAATGGCCAGTCAATCTGAAAGACCATTAGGGTCTTGGTCACACTCTAGATCTCTGGAACACAGCTCTGTCCACCTTCCCAGGTATGTTTGGTGGCAATGAAGAAGAGAGCTTCTTCTATACATGCTCCCAGGCTTTGGTATTCCTTTCCTATGAGACTAGGATGGGTCCCTTCTTGCTGTTTCTTCTTTATCAAGTCCAAAGTCTTCTTTTTCAATGGGCTTTTCAGAATTCAAAGTAAAAGTTTAATGGTGTGTTGATCTTCATTTCTAGTGGATTTTAAAAGGGTTTTCACTTGGTCAACTGTTTAATTGCATTTTAACAATTACTTTTTATCTGTTTTTATGTGCTTTAGTTTTTGCAGGCCATATTGAGTCCAACTATTTAAGAAAAGGTGAGATGAAAATGATTAAATAAAAACACAAGGAGAGAGACACACATAAGCATAGATAAATGTCCCTTAAACATTTACTTGGAAGTGAGTGTTTTAGTATAATTGTGGGCTTGATAATTGATGGCCCTTCATTTGGACTTTACTTGCTTGCCCTGTCATTACGATGTCCTGCTATAGATCCCATTCCCTCGATAGTATCACATGTAGCCAGGATTGTGCACATTTTTTCTTAGATGTGAATGTTATTGTTTATAGCCTAGGGACAACATATTCCAATGTTCTTTAATAAGGTGCAATTGCATCTATAGGTTTTTTATTTTAAAAAATGAGAAAGAGACATTATGATACCATTAGACAGAATGAGCATAGGAAAAAATGATTAAAGGGCGGCTTTACAATAAGAATTGGATGTGATGTGTGGTTCACAGCTTGCCCTTGTAATTAGCCTTTTAATTAGTAATTTCCTGCAGTCATTTCCTTCTAGATTAGAAACTACTAATTAAAGAGCTAGTGGCTAAGAGAATGCATGGATTTAGGGCTTTGATCCTGTATACTTTTTGGTCCGCAAATTCTTTTCTATTCCATTGGATTTAAGAACTTGTCCCCAATAAGAGACTTTTCAGAACAGGTATGGTAAAGGAAACTTTAATGCTCTAAATTATATGCTGTCTAGAATTGCAATGGCATTTCAGCAGTGCTCTTGAATGGACATTATTATGAAACAGTGCTGAATGTGACTTTTTCCCTTGAAATTCAGAATATAATCATACTTCAGTTAACAAAATCTATTGACAGTGAAGATCCTTTTAAAAATATTTATCACCCACTCAGCCTTCCTTTCTCCCCTCATCCTCTCACTAGATTGATGAATTGTGTCAGCATTGAAAGAATGGTGAAGGAGATTTTTTTTAAAATGTCTGAAGCAGCTTGAGAAACTGCAGGTCGCTTCTGGTGTGAGAGAATTGGCCATCTGCAAGGACGTTGCCCAGAGGACACCTGGATGTTTTACTGTCCTGTGGGAGGCTTCTCTCATGTTCCCACATGAGAATCTGGAGCTGACAGATGGGAGCTCACCCTGTCTCGCGGATCTGAACTGCCGACCTTCAGGTCAGCAGTTCAGCCAGCACAGGGGTTTAACCCATTATGCCACCGCAGCTCTCTATAAGGAGAGGTGAAAACAATACAGAAATTTCATGCCAAGTTGCAGAAGTGCTTTTTCAGCAAACAGTGCAACAAAGGTTGAGAAGGAGGAGAGCGTGATTTTTTTTGTTGGCAATTTTTCTGTAATATCTGTATTTGCCTAGAATAGAAAAGATAGACAGTAGCCACTGCCAGAATCCTTCACGGATAATCCATGAACAAAAGGGAAGAGCAGATAAATCTATCTCACCAGCTACTTTCACACCATTACAAAAGAATAGATAAAAGAACAAATTATAAGCCTGGTTACCAAAATGAAAATATTAAGGAATGTAGAAGATGGTGAAAGAAAAAAGTAATCCATGAATGCATTTTGTAAGAAGTCTTCAGGTAGTTTCTTGAAGTTTGAATTTTTTGTTTGTTTACTTAAATAGAATTACTCAACCTGGTTGTTTAATTTAATATTTACATATTATCAATTTTAAACAAAAAGCTTGCTGAATGGCTCTTTTTTGTGGTATAGGAATCTATCTTTCTTTCTGCTTCTGTTTTCCAAATTTTGTAAATGCCCAGGAACACATCTGCTACATAAATTGAGGAATAACTGTAATGCAAAATATTTAATATCCTTATACTAGAACTTGGAAGCATTATTTTACAATCTAAAATTCACAGAATGCTCTAGCCAACATGGCAGTAGCCATGCTGGCTGCAAGATTCTAGAAACTGTAGCCCATGAAAATACTCTTATTATGTTAACCCACTTGTTTATTTTTGCATGACTTACCTTAACTGGATGCAGGTAGCCATCCCCTCTCAATGTGCCCAAGCCCTCTCCAGGCATATCGTCTTCATCCTGCAGGCTACGGGTGAGATGAGCGATGTAGGTCGTGGCCAGGAGAAGCACATCCAACTTGGACAGTTTGGTGTCAGGAGGCACAGAGGGCAATGTTCTCTGAAGCTCCAAGAAGGCATGGCGCAGAGTCTGCACTCGGCTCCGCTCTCGGGCTGCATTTGCGGCTGCTGGTCTCCCCAGAGTCGCCCCAGTCCGCTGTTCACTCAAGGAGTCAGTACTAGATATAGACGATGGTAGAGATTTGGAGTCAGAGCAGGACACAGGGAGCTCCTTGCAGTTCTCAGGTGCATTTCTATAGTCCATTGGTGGAGATGAACCTGTAACCAACAAGGATACTTATTTCTATGGTCTTGCCCCTAGAAAAATCACAGTTAGCAACTACAAGAATCATACTGTAATCTGATTACTGATATTTAGCATGATACCAGAAGTTCTCAGAATATCAAAGTACTGTATGTTCCAATTCTTAAGTCTTTGGCTGTTTTTTTTGTTTTGTTTTGTTTTTGGTTAATTACTAGTCTTAGAAAGAGTTTTGGAAACTATTTTTGTGGACGACAGTACACACATTCCTCACTCTCCAGTTGGGATGGTAAGGATTCTGAGAATTTAAGTTCACAAAAGCAGACTTTTCAAGCCTTGATTTCAGATTTCTGTTCTATTTTTAACACAAACATATTACGCCAATAAATCTTCCGAATCATTCATTTTCAGTCAGGCATCTGTTTGCTCTTGGTCACAATTTCAATGTCTTGGAAACAATGGCTGGCCTAAAGAGCAATAACATAAACACAATTCTCTGAACTTTAGATTGCAATATTACAGCCACTTACCTTTGAGCAAACACAAAGAGGATTGAAATGTTCATTACTTCCACATAAACAAATTCAGAATTGGGATCCTGGAACAGTGACTGTGTCGTGTTGGTTGTTGTGTGAATTCAACTTGTTTTTGACTCATAGAACCATAAAGTGAACCTTTTGCTGGGTTTTCTTAGCAGGATTTATTCAGAAAGGGTTTGCCATCCCCTTTGCCCCTTGCAAATCAACAAAATGTGTCTGAAACAGTTTAATAGTTTTAATAGTTTTTTGTCTACAATGTTTATTTTTAAATTGTATTTTAATAGAATTGTTTTCATAATGCTTCTAGAAGAACAATAATATCCAATTTATTTGGGATCTGATGGAGTTTTTTCTCCTAAGGAAATCTAAATGACAGTGTATTTATAAATCTGTACTCTGAGAATATATATTCCAGCAAACATACTAAATATATTCCAGCAAACATACAAAATCAGATTTCATTAATTCTTTCATTAATTCTGAAAGAGTAATCTAATTGGAGTATAAAAGACATAAACTTCACTCATACAATAAATGTCCCAGATTTAAAAATACTCTAAAAACAATAAAACCTGATCCCCTCTTTCCTTTTAAAATGTAATCCCTGCTTTCACTGTAATCTGCTACTGAAATGAATACTGACAGTAAATAAGACCCAGAAAGATTTGGATTTGAATAGAATCTATAACGTACAATACAGAATTGTTTTAATTCAATACAACCTAATAAGGACTAACAGTTCTGTATACTCCCTATATTGTTGTTATACACATTCAAATAATTTCTAGCCTGAGGTTTTACTGGCAAGAAATTTGCCATTGACTTTCCCTGATGCTTTGTGTGTGTGTGTGTGTCAGGCGCAACTTGAGAAACTGCAAGTCGCTTCTGGTGTGAGAGAATTGGCCAGCTGCAAAGATGTTGCCCAGGGGATACCTGGATGTTTTACCATCCTGTGGGAGGCTTCTCTCATGTCCCCGCATGGGAAGCTGGAGCTGACAGGTGGGAGCTCATTCCACTCTCTGGATTCAAACCACTGACCTTTTGGTCAGCAGTTCAGCCAGCACAAGGGTTTAATCCATTGTACCACCAGGGGCTAAGAGTGTGTAACTTGTCAAAGGGTCACCCAAAGGGTCAAACAAACCCGGAGTCCAAGTCCAACACTCAAACCACTACACTACACTGGGTCTAACTCACAGTATATAATGTGGATAGATATAGATGCTTTGATACTGTAATCTAAGCAAACATAAATTTTGATCCTAGGTCTGGCATTTTAATGTATATAATGTATGGATGAAGCCAAAGCAATTTGGGGCAGGAAAGACTGTGTTCCTCAAAGATGTCTCCCAGTTTCAGCTCTTCTTCCTGTTCCATAAATCTGGACACTTTTCCTGCACTCAGAAATTACAGAATACAGGAGAAAAGGGGGCAAATTGTACCAGAAAGGGCCAGCTCTGGTTCCAAGTCTGCATCATAATCCCAGTTATTGGGACTAAACCCTTTCAAACATAGGTTTTTTTTTTCATGTCAGGAGTAACTTCAGAAACTGCAAGTCATTCCTGTTGTGAGAGAATTGGCCATCTGCAAGGACGTTGCCCAGGGGACACCCAGATGTTTGATGTTTTACCATCCTTGTGGGAAGCTTCTCTCAATGCCCTTGCATGGGGAGCTGAAGCTGACAGAGGGAGCTTGACGCACTCTCTCTGGATCTGAACCGCTGACCTATTGGTCAGCAGTCCTGCCGGCACAAAGGTTTAACCATTGTGCCAATGGGAGCTCCTTCAAACACAGTGAAACTTACTTTTGAGTAAATATCCATGATATTGTCTTTTAAACTTCTAGGTATTACATAACCCATATGGAAAAAATGCACAGATATAGCAAATGCTCATGCAACCATGTTTTATATTATATATTTTATTCACTAAAATGTAATTTTGCATTTGTGTGAATTTTTAATTTTAATGTGTTGATTTTGCAGTGACCTATAGTGAAAGCAATTTTTTTTTTAAAAAACTCCTCTTTCCTCTTTCTTTTGATTTCTCTCCACTTTTAATCTCTGATCTGAAATATAGTAGTGTGTGATTCATTTTATGAATGATGAAAACAAAGACTTATTTCTCTACTATAGACAAGTGAATCCTCACTATCTCGTTTCTGCAACTGTCAACAATCTCTGTTGTATCTCTGCATTTTGGGAGGAATTCATAAAATTCATCTGGGATCGTCAACATTCACATATAAATGTCAACATTCACCACATTTCAGACAAATGGAATAACGCAAGGCATACTGGCTGCAATCCAATAAAGTGATATGTTCAGAGAAAAACCACACTTGGAGCTCTGAGTTCATTTGTAATTTCTGTTGCTGGAGTTCTCCTTGCATAGCGTGGAGAGAAAAATCACCTTTGAGAGAGGCATGGACAATCCTATAAGTATTACCCATACACAAGATAGAAATATACCAACAGGATCTATGTGGGCTATTAAATGCACTATACTGTATATCATCAGCACAACAGATCGGAGGTTTGAATCTGGGGAGAGAGCGGATTAGCTCCCTTTGTCAGCTCCAGCTCCCCATGCCAGGACATGAGAGAAGCCTCCCACAAGGATGGTAAAGCATCAAAACATCCAAGTGTCCCCTGGGCCACATCCTTGCAGACGGCCAATTCTCTCACACCAGAAGCAACTTGCAGTTTCTCAAGTTGCTCCTGACACGAAAAAAGCACGTTCTTTTCAAGCAAGACTGAATCCACACTTCTCAATAAGATCCTACTTATGAATAGATACAATTTAGTCAGCCATAGTGGACCTTGAGATTGACATTCTGAAATTCTACATACTGTACCTTACGGGCATTTGCAAAGTAGCCACACATCTCAATCCTTTTCATACACACTAATATTTCTTCTTCCAGGGTTTATCTTTTTCATTTTTCAATTTTGTTTCTGAATTCCTAAATATACCCTCTGGATTGCGACAAAATGTGTCCATATTATTTTTCTCTTTTCTGGTCCATCCTTGAATAAGTAAAATATTTTTATTAGCCTCCTCTAAAAGACAACATAATGTAAAGTGGACAGTTGTAAGAATATTATTTTCTTTAACTACCGTACTGAAACTTTTGAGAAAATTTGAAATGCTTGGTTGTGTTGAAGAATTCTGTAAACTGCCAAGTATGATTAATCAAGTTGTTTCAATTAAACCTATTCTCTCCAAGTCAATGCATTTATTGGGCTTTTAAAATATCTTTATAAACTACTTGAGCAGTATCAGGTAACCAAGGGAAATTAATAGAGATGCCTCTTGGAGCCAAGAACTAAATGATATTCCCATTAATAAGACAAATATTTATCTGAGTTCTGTTTACACAGTGGTGAAATCAAGGGGAGGTATTTCCAAAGAGATTACAATAGCGGAGATGGAATATACACATCACATGTAGCCTTGTATCCAAAACATGCTGATTTTCAAGACACATCCATGTGAGGAAGATTTATTATTTAAGAAAGAAGTTAGGACTTGCTGTTAGCACAAAAAAACCAGGTTCAGCTCAATGAAGTTAAGGTAAATTGTTAGTCACTTCATAGTTCAATACTCTTGTTCAGACTTACGTTGAATTTCTCCAAAAAGTCTTCAGCATCAGATGGATTTCCTTCTGATTGTACTCGTATGTATGTATATTTGTGTGCGTCTATATATATCTACTTTTATGTTGTTATCAAAGACTGAAGGCTTTCGTGGCTGGAATCACCAGGTTGCTGTGAGTTTTCCAGGCTGAATGGCCATGTTCCAGAAGCACTATCTCTTGACGTTTTGCCCACATCTATGACAGGCATCCTCAGAGGTTGTGAGGTCTGTTGGAAACTAGGCATGTGAGTTTTATATATTTGTGGTATGTCCAGGGTGGGAGAAAGAGCTCTTGTGTGCTTGAGGCATGTGTGAATGTTGCAATTAGCTACCTTGATGGGAATTTAATGGCCTTGCAACTTCAAAGCCTGGCTGATTGCTGCCTGGGGAAATCTTTTGTTGGGAGGTGTTAGCTGACCCTGATTGTTTCCTGTCTGGATTTCCCCTGTTTTCTGAGTGTTGTTCTTTTTTACTGTCCTGATTTTAGAGGGTTTTTTAAAAAAAAATACTGGCAGCCAGATTTTGTTCATTTTCATGGTTTCCTCCTTTCTGTTGAAATTGTACACATGCTTGTGGATTTCAATGATGTCTCTATGTAGTCTGTAGTCTCTGTGTATTTTTATGCTGTTTTTAAACCACCTCATTGGATGTGTTGTAATAACAAATTCCCAGATTAGTGTTTACACTTTTTTGTTGCAATATTGATATATAATATTTCTTTTATTTAAGTGATATGTCTTTACTGTTCTAATGTAGCACAAACCCTGTGTAAAATAATACCACTTATTTTTATCGTTAATTTTGGAATCTGAAATAAATTATTAAAAAGTAAGGCTCAGAAT